AACGCTAAGAGCAAGACAATTTTACTAGAGGGTAAATAGTTAACTCACTGTTTAAATTAAAAACATACCGTTCATGTTTTACTTCTAAAGTCCTACGTAGTTATCATTCGTAAAAATATTTGGCACGAGTTTAAGAACGGGTTGAAGAATTTTTTTTGCATTTGACGGTAACTATGGTGTTACTAATTTTCACGCTATATAATATGGATAAACTCAACATTGTATGGCATAGGCTTAGACTACATTATAGTGTAAATAAATGAATTCACGTGTTACAATATGAATGTATTGGTAATGCCACATCATTGTGACAAACACATTGAAAAAACATAGCTAGTAATTAATAATGTTGACGAACATTATAATGACAATTAATTCGTTATACACTGTTATAATAGATTTAGTTAATTCGAAGCCTTCATTGTAATTATAAGAAAGTAATTTTATAGTGTAATTATTTTAGATTCCTTCCACGTATGGATTTTGTTAAACGCTATGTATATATATTGTAAACGTTGCACCATATTATATATAGGGTTTAACATTGCACCATACTAAAAGAATGAGTCATATTTTTACATATTCTAATTAATGATAATGATAATAACGAGTACCACAATATATAGGGATATGAACTTGCAAGTGGAAAAACAATCTAATCAAATTCAGAAAACTTAAGCAAGCTCTAACGTTAATGGAAATATTCTCTTCTCTTACAATGACAATTAGTAAATTAATTACTATCGTAATTAAGACTAGTTAGGTACGTGCATGCATGGACGTTATACACAACACACATGTATAGTATGATATCAGATTAGTGTTGAAACAGCACAGCACAGCTGGGTGGGAAGTGGGGAGTGGGAAGTCGGAAGTGGGAATTAGTGGGAATTAGGAACCCATTTTTTGTGGTTTTGGTGAGAGAAGAATAACCGCATTCTTGACTTGAGAATATATAATATGACCTTAGTTATACTTCCTCCCTTCCTTGGCTTTAGTTGAGTTTAGATTCCACATTCCCATTCCCTAGAATCTTTTTTTATAAAAAAACTTTTTACTTTCTTCCGCAAGGAATATCATTCCGTGGTCATTTCTCTGATCACTTTCTAATTTCTATGCCCTGTCAGTTGCAGCCAATGCCATCTCAGATATGTATGTCATGCACTGAGCATTCCATGGTCAACAACTCACAACCAAGAAGCTTCTACGCTCCTTCAGTTTCAGCCCGGCCATATGATATAACTACTTCAATTGATTTGATTCCCTTCCACTATACATATTTTTATATAATCTTCGACCCGTCCAAACTCCAAAATAAAGTATTACTATTATCAAATCCCGTAAAACAAAAAGGAAATATGCAAGTACAATCAACAACATACTTCTTGCTTTTCTAGAGCAACGAATAACATTCATTTCCTGCTTGAGGACAATATTATTCTTCTGTTTTTGAGATTGGAATAATTAATTACATAGCTACTTATAGCCGCAGTTAGGGTTAATTACATTTATGATTTATCTGCGTACTGATAAATTAAAAATCTTACATACTTCTACCTATTTTAACATATGTCACAATGCCTAACATACATGAAAACGATTGTTCAGGAAAAATGAAAAAAAAAACATACATGAAAACGAGAACTTGTTTCATATTTCTACACGATATTGTTTAGGCCTATATGAAATAACTATATAACAAGTCTTAATAGTTATTAAGACTCGTGAATGCATGCATATTAACCTGGTTTTTTTTTTTTTTTTCCTGAAATTATGCCGCTTCTTTTTCAAAAGAAAAGGAAAATCTCTAAACTGATGAGCTTTTATAGTACATATTCTAAATGTATTAATTTGAGCAAGTCCTTGTGTTAAGTATTCCGTATTCCAAATGTTTATCATAGTCATAGCTAGCTTAGCTAGGTCAATAAATAAATTTATTAATTGTGATGTATAGTGTGGGTTTAATGGTGGTTTTACAGAGATCTAGTCTCCATAGCTTAATTATATACTTACGAATTTATTCCTGATCAATAGCTGTTGATCATATAACTAGCCAATATTCTTTCTTGTATATTTTTATAATGTAGCGTTTAATTACAGATCGATGATCACCAGACCTAATTCCTTGAGCACCATCAAATAAAAACAGCATAAGCATAATTCACATACACTTGACACATATGAGCATAGCTTTTTTTTTTTTTTTTTTTTTCTTAAAAAGAAAAAGAAAAAGGAATCGGTGGGTGGCGAAACCACGACAGTCCATTCTTCTGGGGGTCGCAAAGACTTACGGAAGTATTTTAGTCACTCTTTGACCACCATATCGTGTGATTTACCAACATTATAATTAATGACAAAAAAAGCCATATAGAATACGGGCTTATAATCCACCACAACCACTACGCCATTATGTGGTGGTTTATCTTCATGGCCTGTTAATTGTATATAACCCTCATGAATAAGAAAATCAGAAAATATTATACTGCGTTTAGGCAGTTATTAAAATATCTTCAATTGTTTCAACGAAGTGGGGCACATAATCTGCTGCATGCATGCATGCGTATACTAGTGGACGTATATTAAATATTGTGTACGCACGTACGTGTTATATGGTGGTGAATAATTATGAGTTCATATAAATTCGTTGGCTCGTTGTGCAGTATAATGTTTAAAGAACAACCACATTGCGTAGGAAAACCAGATATGGCCTAAATATTAATGTATCCTTCGTAGAGGATCATGGAAAACATTTGGAATGGACTCAACAATCTGATTCTCAAGTTTAAGTCATCAAATTCATCGGTTATAAATTAAACATTGCAAAGGAAAAAATAAAATAAAATAAACAATATTCTGACGCGCGATGTAGAAATATTTTCACAATGTTCATTGTGCGTTTGTTGTCACATTTTATTTTCCTTGGGGTGAGAATAGGCAAAATTTGAATCATTTTAATTTGTAGATTTTTATAGTTTTGACCACTCAAATGAGGTTTATTGATAAAGACTTACGTACGATTGCTTGATGGTTTACGAAGATTTGATTGATGATTACAACAACTGAATTGGGGAAGAAAAAGGTTACTTAGAAGAAAAGGATGCCTAAATTACAGTAATAAAAGGAGAAGATGTTGTTATAATTGTGAAAGTGCCTAGCTAATGATGATCTAAATCACTTTGGGCTTGATCACCTGCGGGTGGGTGTGGATTGTGGAAGTGAGAAATGAAATCGACTCTTTTGATTTGAATCAGAGTCCATCCAGATGAGAATGCAAGTAAAAGAAATCTTTTCTTTCTTTCCTTGTTTCCTATTTGTCGGTCCCGGTTGCTTAGGATTCTTCGCCGAGGGGCCCGCTGTTTTATGCCATTGTCAATTGGAGGCAGTTTGTTTGTCCTCTTGTTTGGGTGCCTTTTCTGTTTTATCCTATTTTATATGATCACGGTTAAGCTACATCAATATTTTATATTGATTTTTTTTATAGAGATAGTAAGATAAAAAACAATAAGAATATAAAATATTAACGTGATTTAACTGTGATTGTACAAATAGTAAAGAACGGGAAAGGCATCCAAACAGAAGGGCAGCCAATCCGCCAATTGAAGAGATAAGCTAGGGAATTTGGATTGGCTTGGGCTGGGTCCCACCTCATATTTTATTTTATACTAATGTACGTCGTGGGCTGCTCTGCTGAATAAGTGCCAAACTTACTCAGGGAGACAAAATGGAATGTATTCATTAATTTATTCCATTCCTTGCCTGCCTGCCTGCCTTCCAGTGAAAAATGGAGATCTCCGTGCACGGACACACGCACACTCCAAGCCCAAGCAGGGCAGCATCTCAATATCTCTAACTTCTCTCCCAATTTTTTCCTTTTTGTCGTTGTTAGCTAGCTAGATCATATATAGGTGCTCCAGTCAACAGAATCTGCCTCTCCAAAATACTCCAGAAATAATTACCAAAACCTTGTTTGATTTGTCTCAAGTAATAGTATTTATATAACATGCTGATCCATCACACAGCCAAGTAATAGTATTTATATATCATACACACATTCACAACGGGAGAAACAAACACCTCTTCAAGTGACGAGTCCTAAAAATAACACGCACGCCGCTCACACAAACAAAAACTACCCCCAAGAGTCAAGAGCAGTCAAGGAAAATGACGCAATATTGGTGAAGGATCGATTACAAGTATCTGTACTACTAAAGATATGGAAATTCTAAGAACCTTCCGGTTGAGGACTTGAGAGGTGAAGGGGGGGCCCTTGAAGGCCATGTATAGTGGGATTGGATTCTCCTCATCTCTAAAAGGAGGGAATGAGATTCCCAGCAGCTTTGGCATTGCCAGCACGAGCACGAGAATGGATACGAATACGGAATACCCCTCGCGCGCGCGCGCACAAAGAAAATATAGATAAATAAAGAAATGGTGGATGATCAATATATTTTGGTATACACGTACTTAAATCATCTAATAATACAAATTAAGCATTACGATTTTCATATAACTAAGGGAAAGTGATTAAGTTAAGTTACTCGTAGTCTAAGAAAATGTAAATAATTAATGTTAGGTTGTGAAGAAAGTTGAAGTTCAACCATAAAACTAATATTGCCAATGTAAGAAGTAGTTCAATTACTTATAAACACATGCAAAATTTATCCTTTTATCAATGTGGGACTCTTTTAACTTCATATCCTCACATGCCCCTTGCGTGAATCATGAATTGAATGACGTAGAACATGTGTGGCTGTTGAGCTTTACATGTGGGCCAATCTACTGTGGTACTATCAAGAAATTCAAATGGGTACATACATTGCATGGTCCACAATCACACTTCCCACACAATTATAAGCATAAAAAAGGAAAGGAAAAAGTTGCTGGATGTGGCTGTGAATATTTGATTGGTTGATGAGTTAGTTTTCACTTGAGATTCTTCTTGTATGCCATATATATCATATTGCCATGCCATTCCCCTCATATCATTCATACCCCACAAACCAATTTCGCTTGCCTTATAAAAGCCATCTTCACCACACCCTTTGTTCTGTGAGAAATACACAGATAAATATATCCAGGAGATCGAAGAAAGAAGAAGCAAAAAGAGAGACTAAGTTTTGATTGTTGAAGGCAGAATAATATTTTTTATATATACAAATGATGTACCATCATCAGCAGCAGCACCAACACCAACACCAACACCAAGGAAAGAAGATCATCCACTCTGCTTCTTCAAGCAGAATGTCGATGCCTAACATCCCTTCTGAAAGGCATTTGTTTCTACAGCAAGGTGACCAAAATAGCCCTGCAGGAGATTCAGGCCTTGTCCTCTCAACCGATGCCAAGCCTAGACTCAAATGGACCCCCGATCTCCACGAGCGATTTATCGAGGCAGTTAACCAGCTTGGAGGAGCAGATAGTGAGTACTACTCTATTTACTTACTAATACTAGCTAGCTCCCAGCGGAGAGCTGAGAGCTGAGCTGATCATTATATTAATTCCACTTAATTAATAAAGTTATGATGATTTCCAATGTTATGCAGAGGCTACTCCAAAAACGGTTATGAAACTTATGGGGATTCCCGGCCTGACATTATACCACTTAAAGAGTCATCTTCAGGTACTTTACTTCAATGTTTTTCTACCACCATTAAGTTCAACTGATTTCAAACTCTCCATTTAGTTCTAATTAATTATATTGCAATTTAATCGGCCATTTTAAAAAGGAAAATGCCACAATCAAGTATTGAAGCATTAGTTTCATTTTCTTCAGCTCCAAGCAACAAAGTGAAACTAATTTTAATCCAGCCATTATAATTGAAATCAATTTTAAGCCAGTCATTTTTTTGGTTTTTGTCAAACAGAAGTACAGGCTTAGCAAGAATCTGCATGGAGGGCACGTTACTAGTAGCCTCACCAAAATTGGTAAGCAGAGGAGACTAATCATTTGTTCAATTCCTCCTCTTAAGATATATATACATTGATTGGTTTACACTTAATTTACAGCCAGTTTAATTTAACATTGTTAATAGTTTGGACCATGATATTGTATATGTACAGGTCCAGTTCCAGTTTCAGTGGCAGGAGAAAGATTAATATCTGAAGCAAATGGAAGTCAGATGAACACTATGAGCACTGGCATTGCACCCCAATCAAACAAGTAAGCTGCCTGCTGCCACTCATTTACCCGCTTGATCATCTGTTAATTTTTCATTTATTTATCATCTTATAATTACCTCAATATGTATGAGATTTAGGCTCACAATGGCAATTCTCATTTAATTCCAGAGGCTTACATATAACTGAAACACTAGAGATGCAAATTGAAGTCCAGAGAAGGCTACATGAGCAACTTGAGGTAAGGGCGTGCTCTTGGCACTCAGTAGAGCAAAAACTCTTTCCCATTATAGCAGCGTTATTCTTACAATTTGTTCTGACCGAAAACCAGGTTCAGCGGCACTTGCAACTTCGTATAGAGTCTCAAGGAAAATACCTGCAGTCTGTGCTGGAGAAAGCCCAGGAGACGCTAGGACGACAAAACTTAGGTACAGTAGGACTTGAAGCTGCCCAAGTTCAACTCTCTGAGCTTGTGTCCAAAGTATCCACCCAATGCTTGAACTCTTCCTTCACAGAGCTCAAAGAATTACAGGGATTGTGCCCTCAGCAAACGCAAACGAACCAGCAGCCCACCGATTGCTCAATGGACAGCTGCCTAACTTTTTGTGAAGGATCGAAAAAGGACCAAGATCAGATACACAGCAGTGGAGTGCCTCTAAGACCAAATTACAAAGGCAGGGTGACAGCAGTCCTGGAACAAAAAGATACAGAACGAGCGCAGCCGCCTATGCTCCAAAACACTAGTCAACTTAATTGGTGTGAAGATATGGAGGACAATAACATGTTTATTTCCTCCATAAGTAAAGATGCAGAAAAAAGAATGTTCCCTGCTGCAGAAACAAGGTCTAGTGACTTATCCATGAGCATTGGACTACAAGGAGAAAGATGGAATCTCGATAGCAAGGGAAGAGACTCAGATGGCAGCTTTTTAGAACGAACAAACAGCAGCAGGTCCGATTCAGCTAAAGTCAAGGGTGCGAAAGTTTCTCAAGGATACAGATCAGTGCCTTACTTTGTAGCAAAGCTAGACCTAAATGCTCATGATGATAATGATGCTTCTTCAAGTTGCAGACAGTTTGACTTGAATGGCTTCAGCTGGAGCTAAGTAGGCTTACAGTGGGTGAATCAAAGGGATAAAAACACTGCAATTTCAGCTTCATACCAAAGGATAGACAGAGCATGATAGCGTGCTGCAAACGTATTGTTCAATCGAGCTATTAATTTAGATCAATTACATAACAAGTAGCTCAGGCAAGCAGGATGTAATATCTTTTTATATATGATTGAGAGTTCCAGGACTAGAAAGCAGAATATGTCTTGATCTCACGTTCGTTCAGTAAACTCTAATGTTAATCCACCCAATCTCCCCTAGGCTCCGAACACGGTTGTCGATCACATTAAAGCTTGTACCGTTATCATAATCAAAGTCGTCTTAATCTCGTGTGGTGTGGGGCTCTATTTCATGATAGGAATAGACTATGAATGCAAAAGAATGAACTGTATGAAAGATTAAGGTCATCTCTAAATAGACAGAAATGACGGAGGAAGACAAAATGTAACGTATGACAAATTTTGAGATGACCAAATTCATGAATCAAAATGCCAATGGAAGTATAATTCAGAAAACAGTTGCTATAAAGTTTATACCATATAAAACAGTATAAACCCTTTCTAATAAACATTGGCAAGGTATTTAGCATTTTTTTGTTGTTTTTTGGGGTTAATTGCTCATTGAATTCTTTTTCCCTATAATTCTGGCACGTACAACGGTCTGTGTGCAGCTTGGATTGGATTGGATTGGATTGGATTGGAGTGGGCCTCTGCTCGCATTGGTCTTTTGGTAATGGACCAACCACCACCGTCCAGTCTTTTAACATTCTTCGTTTGGACCTTTTCTCCCCACGCCATTTTATTTTTGGAAGATAATTAATTCTTCGTTTCGAACGCATCTGAAATATCGTGAGGAGGAGGCCACGGCCAAACAACAAACTGCCGTTGAAAATTGAAAGCAGACCGCCTGTCTCCGTCTCCATACAACCCCACTTCCCCAACCCTCTCAAAATCTGAATCAAGCGACCAAGAAGAAGGAGAAACCTTTGGTTCTGTTTGTGGTGAAACGTAAACGACAAGTGATTTGATTTTCAATTTTGGAAGATCGGCCTCTGTGTTTTTGTTTGTGTTTGTATTTGTGGTGTCGGTGGAGATGGAGGTGCCGAGCTCATGGGACGCTCTTCGCAAACAGGTACTCCTTTTTCCTCTTCAGCGATGATCAATACTTTCAGTATGATTTCCTCCTTCGCAATTCTCAACTTTCTCGGGTAACTGACGATTTCCTGAATCCTGTTTGGTTTGCCTTAGATATTATCCATTTCGATAACAGCTTTGAATTCTGCAACTAGACTAGTGCTTATTGCTTTTGCCTTTTCTTTTAGTTCAAGTTGTCGGTAGGTTGTATTGTTTGAGATCAGTTTGCGTTTTTTTCTTCAAACTTTTATCGTCAATTTGGATTTGTTTGTGATTGGTGAGTTAAATTGATAAATTCCCTTTCTTCTAGCAACAAATTGTTAAATTTTAGCTTCGATCAGAACTGTAATTGCTAAGTGGAGAAATTTGATTGAAGAAAAGAATATGGAAAGTTACAAGACTTGTAATTGAATCATGCTCAATTGCCTGCGGCATATAGTTCTGTTTGGTTAACAAAAACGAATTAAAAGAAATTCTAGTAAAAATTTCAAATCGGATTCTATTGGAAGATTAATGTACCTTAGCTAGGCACAGGATCAAAATTTAACTTCAACTAGCAATTTTGAATAGGGCCCCATTGTTGTATGGGACTCAAAGTCCCTATAGCATTCCTCTTCTGCCGCCTGTGTCATTACTTAAATGAGAACTACGATTAGATCTGTGCAGTAATAGATGACCCTCTTCTTGACATACTCTCTGCGTATGACAATTCAAAATAATGATTTTCCTCTATGGACATCATATAAGAACATCTTCCTCAAAGCATAGGCCCAAAGTGAAAAAGAGCTACTTTGGTACGGGCCTTTGAATGCCAAACAGACCTAGAAAGCCAACACCCTCCCCTCCTTTAAAACCCTGGTAGTAATGTCTAACATGAAATCACTACTATGATTCCACCACCACCTCAATTTTCATTCGTGCACACTCTAACGAAAATAGTAGATCATTGGACGTCAGCATCATCCTGATGAGCAATGATATAATCCTCAGCTAAAGAAATATTAAATATGTGCAATTTGAAAAAGTCTGGGCCCGGTCATTCTTCACTTCTGTTACAAGGGAGACTGAAAGATGAAAAAAGAACAAGGTTGAGCTGTGGTAACAATCTACTCATCCAGGGATTCTTATTATTAAGCTTCTCATCTAAATCATGATACTATTTTCAAGAATGCTAAAGACTTCGTGGTGAATATTTCAAGATTCAGTTAGTGCATCTCTTTTTTTCCTATATGTTTCTTGAACTTATGAATTTTACTCCCTGATTGTGTTGAAAGGTTGAACATTTTGCTATCACGAAGGTACTAGTATTAGGTGAAGCACGGATTTTCACTTGGCCTTCTGATTCCCAGTGTCACTTTTTGAGCATGAATTTTGAATATTTGGTTTAAGCTACTGATTTTTTCTGAATCTTTTAAGCGAAGGTACTTCAGTAAGACATCGAGTTTGTTTACATATCATATAATATAATCACATTGGCTCAACCTAAATGGAAATATTAATTCCGTTTGTCTGTAAAGTGCATGATCACGGATGTGCTATGCTAATTTTTTTCATTTGTTTCCTCTTCCATGTAGTTCCCTTCATACTAAATCTAGATAACTGGGAATTTTGCTTTCTTAAAATGATTTTTTTTTTATCTATTTGTAATTTCAGGCAAGGAAACTTGAAGCGCAGTTGGATGAGCAGATGAATTCTTATCGTAAGTTTGTCTCTGCAAAGGGTTCTGCAAAAGTTGGTACTGCCGAGAATGATCTTGAATCTGGGATTGATCGACTATTAAAGCAACTCCAACAAGTAAATTCACAAATGCAAGCATGGGTATCATCAGGAGGATCAGAAATGGTTTCTCATACCTTGACTAGACATCAAGAAATTTTCCAAGATCTCACTCAGGTATTCTGGCAATCTGGCCTCTTAAATATGCTAAGGTGAACATGGGATGGCAGTTTTGTTTTTTTTGAACGATATGTTGCTAAGGTGTCTTGAATGTGCTGTGGGTTGATCCATAGTCCAACCGGCATGAATGACGTGTTCTATGAGCTCTCATGCCACCTTATAAATCTCTTGAAGTCAAGACCCTTATGTTTTTAAGAAGGAATTTGTATTACTGGTCATTATCCAATCCCTTGTTTTTCGTTTTTCATTAGTGTTCCGAGTTCTATCTGGAATTGAAATTGAGAGTTTGAACAGTCAAAATGTGGATGATCATTCTGAGCTGAGCTCTAAGTTACAGATCTATTATTACTATTCGTTTTTCAGCAAGATAGCTTGAGATTTGGCCTCATGCTATATGCTGGTGAAGCGACTAATATCCTGAATTTTATTCAATTTTGTTTGTACATTCTTTGAATCATTTGTGCTGTCTTTGCTATAAAACATATAATTCCTAAGATTGAACCCAGCAGATTTCAATTTTTTGTTAGACATGAATCATGATTGAAGTGCAGGAGTTCTATCGTCTCCGCAACAGCCTTAGAGCTAAGCAAGAGCATGCTTCACTCCTTGAGGATTTTAGGGAGTTTGATCGAACAAGAGTAGACTTGGAAGATGGCGTTGGTTCTGCTGAAAACGCTCTCCTCAAAGAGCATGCTGCTGTTAGCCGAAGTACAGGACAGGTACGGAAATTAAAGTGACACATTTTTTTATCTGTACAGATTAAGTTGGGTGGTGATCCGTTTTATTAGGACCCAGTTTTAATGATTGTTTTAGTAAAGACCTAAAGATATATATCATATGGCTTTGACGGAAGAGAAATGGACGTCTTCATAGTTAGGAAGTGAAACAGAATTTTATTGTGTAGGGTAGCACTTCTCTTAGCTGATGGTGGTTTAGAGTCCTTGGATTGATTTTACATCCCTTATCTGGGGTTTGGCAAATGAAGCATTCAAATTGTGATTTATATTGAATTCCCAATCTATTCTGTTACTGCAGGTGGATACTGTGATCTCTCAAGCTCAAGCAACCCTCGGTTCACTTGTCCTTCAACGCTCCACTTTTGGTGGTATTAATTCGAAGCTCAGCAATATTGGCAGCCGCCTTCCGACGGTATAAAACCAGTAATTGTGGTCCTTGATGTGTTAGTTATTTCTTTGGCGTTTTGTTGTTACATAGTTCCCTCATGAAACAGAATCAAAATGTTTCTCTTGCATTCTATGAATAAGAGTTAATGCATGCAATAGGTTAATTGCAGAAAGTATTTCACCACTACAAAGTTAACTGAATTTTTTGATACCAAAACTAGATTTGATGAATCCTAATGGCGAGTAGGCTAAGAAAGTGCCTGGTCTGAAATTATTGCGTAATAAAAGGATGACTTGTTTGAAGGGCAACGCAAAAATGAAGTAAAGAAATTATGGATTTTAATCCCTTGAAATGTGTATATCTGTCATTTATTATTTCTGTACTCTTTAGTTCTCTTGATTGACGTTCAAAGATGTGATGGTGCAGGTAAATCAAATGCTGTCCGCTATAAAGCGTAAAAAGTCTATGGATACCATCATTCTTTCTCTCATTGCGTCCGTATGCACATTTCTCATATTTATCTACTGGTTGTCAAAGTGAGGATCTATGAGGATCAGGCATTTGTGTGGGGGGACCATCTGTGAGTGAGAAAGAGAAAAAGATACCATTTTTTCCTTGAGTTTTCTCGAACGAACCTGTATTACTGTAAGTGATTTGTTTCTTAGGAGTACAAAATACAATGGATGCAGGCATTCCGTGTTATTTCATGTTCTTTCATTGAGCTTGAGTGTCGATTTAATTTCTGATTTTCAGCAGGGTTACAGCGTGCCACCAGCGTAATGATGTAAGTGACTCTGATGTATTAGTACATAGTTTGTTTTAGATGGAAGCAAACAACATACTTATATCAACTTTTGTTAAATATGTTTCTCGTCACGTGATTAAGATATTTCGTGATTAATGATGGTGTGGAAAAGAAGGCCTTAGGCCACCAAAATACTAGAAGTGAATTACAGGCACGGGAAGTTTGATACCATTGTTTGTAATATGTTAGTTCCTCTTGTCAATGTTTTCTCTTGTTCAGAAATTACTTATCTATGCCTATCTATTATCTGATTTCTTTTGCTCCACAGGACAGTGCCCCTCTTTGGGTTCTGCAACCATGGCAGCGACCACACCACCAGCCATCTCTAGTTAAGGTCACACATTTACTTATTCAAATAAATGAAACTTGTGTCTTTGAAATACTTTCTGGATTTGGTTTCCAAGGTTTATAGACAATTCCCCCAATCATACCCACGGATAGAGTTTCAGCATATAGGATTAACAGGGAACCGAACTAAGAACCGAACTAACTCGGCCCACCCCTCTACGAATACTTACCTGCAATTATTCCACATGGTTCAGGCAGGCGCTTTTTTGTTTATCAGGCTCAGGCAACCGGCCTTGGCTCTTAACTAATGTCAAAATGTTAAATTAACAATAACGGTAAAAAAGACAACAGTAATGTTTTTCAACGAAGAAGTCAAATCTAATATGACATGACTTGGAATAACATTTCTCTCCCCTTGCTGACATAGCACCTTCAATTTTTTTTTTAATAATATTAAATGTTTTTTCTTAATTTTTTATTGGTTTAAAGCATTGTCTTTTTGTTTTTTTTTTTCCATTACCAATGCAATATTTAATACTTTTATACCTATTAATTTATTTTCTTTCATTCTCAATGCAAAGAAAATAAATATGAATTTTTATTTTATATTTAAATTTATCATATTAAATGAAAACCAAAATATCCAAATTTAAATTTTAAATTTTAAATTTGACACCTCCTGGCCTGTCTGTGTTTCTTTCCCAATTTCAAAAAATTGGATCGGATCTTATTATCGCAAGGCGACCGACCAAAGATCATTTAAAGTGAAAGGGGCCACCCACTTCCTTCAACTTCACGGTCACTTTTTGAAACGACGGTGCCATCCTCCATATTCAACGTTGGGCCTTTCCAGTCACTAGTGCTTCGGTCTTGTGATATTTTTTTTCATATGGAAATGAGAAATTTTAGGTTCAAATTTTGTGAATGATGAATTTGATACCAATTTAAATTGTCTATTATGTGGTTTAGCCGAATTCTCTATTATCTTATCTTAATGTAAAAATATTAATGTATTAAAAAAATAAAAAATAAAAACGTTGGAACTTTGCCTTTCTGCCTTGCCCATGAGATATAGTAGTGGGAAAAAAACGTGGTATGTCGGGCGGAGTTAGGGGTTAGTGGGCCACACCGTCACCGAGCCATAACCTAACCTTTAGATTTTCCATACATGTAAATTTAATTGACGTTTTTTTTCTCATTGCTTCCGACTGAATAAACAAAAAAACCACGGAACTTGTTCGGATTCTAACTTGGAATCGAAAAGCCAAAAGAAAGAGAAAAAGACAAGTGCTTTGTTCTGATGATACATCAAAAGGTGACTTTGCACATCGGAATCGAATCGGAAGCAAAGAAAGCAATCCAACCCAACCGAGCCTAAGAGACAGACGCACACTTGGCAGCTCACTGTTATTCCCTTCCCCAATTTTTCAAAATTTACTTTTAAAAATATAAAAAACTAAATTTTAATCCTTAAATAAGCTAAAGTTTAGAAAAATATCTTATACAAGATTAAAAATTGATTTTAGTCCCTAGACTCTATTTAATGACAACATATTAAATGCCTTTCTTTATTATTTATAATTTTATGTTGTTCATAAATTAAATTTTAATTCTCATTATGGTAAGTATCTTATATAAGAAAAATTTTTATAAAAATTTTTCGGTACACATGTTTTTGCATGTTTTCTTATGTGCCACTAATTCATTACAATATATTTAGGTACGAACATTTCGGTACATTAGGTTAGTATAATATGTTTAGATACGGATATTTCGGTACACTAGTTTATTATAATATATTTAGGTACTAACATTTCGGTATACTAGTTTGGTATCATATATTTTGGTACAGACGTTTCGGTACACTAATTTAGTAAAATATATTATGATACGAACGTTTAGGTATACTAATTAGATAGAGTAAAATAAATATAATGAATTAAAATGTGTATAATAATAAATAATTTTAATTTTAATGTAATGACATTAAATAAGGTATCTATTAAATATTAAAATAAAAATATAATATAAATTCGAATTAAGTACATATAAGGGGACTAAAATCAATATCCAATCTAACCATATTTTTATTAAATTTTAAAATTTTTCAAGAATTAAAGTTCAAAAATCCCTTAAAAATATTCGTTACTGGTAAATTTATTAAAGTGCTCAGAAAGTCTGAGGAGTAGATATTATTATTATTATTATTAGGGGGAGGTTTTCAAAACTCAAACTGCGCGTGACAAAATCAATTTCTAGCCGTTAGAGTTGAGGAGCTCCCTCTTTTCCCCTTCCCCTCGATTTGAAAATTGAAAAGTCTGTGACGGACAGACAGACAGACAGACAGACACTCTCCAGGAGCCCAGAACCAGAAATTGGGTTTTTACCTTGTCGTTTCATCATTTGGATTTTTATCCTCCTTTACAAAATTCTTGGAATTTCTGACCATTTTACTTATGCGGGTTTTGGGGTTTTGAATTTGATCAGATTCATATATATATATATATATATTGATTGCGATACTTGCATCTGCATAAGGAGAGAGAGTATAACGTCGGTCTTTGAGTGAGGGTTGTCTATCAGCCAGACAAGCCAAAGCCAGGTGGTTGTGGGTGTTCTCACTACTCTGGATTGGATGTCACTTTACTAAAACGTGTGGAGTGGTAACTTCCCTCTATACACCCTCCCTCCCTCCCTCCCCCACTAACCCATCTTCTTCTTTACTATTATTATTATTATTATTATTATTCTCATTCCTCTTCAGCTTTCCCTTTTTCCCCTTCCTAATATTGGGGATTGGATTGGATCGGATCGGATCGGATCGCCCTCTTTCTCCACTACCCCCATCTCAGTTTTCGTGGGAAAAATAAAATCACTGGAATATCGCCGATTCTCCGACCCACCTGCAACTTTTCCCTCTTTTTTCTCTTCAGTTAGCATAAAGGAAACTTCTTTTTTCCCTCTTAATCTTTCATCTCTTATTTATCTTCCTATTTACACTATAAAGCCTTTTGCTTTTGTTCCCTTCCCTCCTCCCCTGCCTTTTCGATAAACCCACAATTTTCCCGTCAAAAGAAAAAGGAAAAGAAAACATGGAAAGGATGATGTGGGTTTTGGTTGTGGTGGCTGTGTTGTGTGTTTGCAGTGGTGTGGAAGGTCTTGGTGTGAATTGGGGAACGATGGCAACCCACAAGTTGCCGCCGGAGACGGTGGTTCAGATGCTAAAGGACAATGGGATTCAGAAAGTGAAGCTTTTCGATGCAGAGGAGTCGACCATGAGTGCCTTGGCTGGCAGTGGTCTTGAGGTCATGGTTGCCATTCCTAATGATCAGCTTGCTGTCATGACCAGCTACAAACGTGCCAAAGAATGGGTCCGCCGCAACGTCACCCGCTACAATTTCAACGGAGGAGTTAACATCAAGTATGACTTCAGTTTGCTATCGATCCCTTTATAGTCCTGATTGATTTCATTGTTATTGCTATTTTGCTATAGAATTTGCTTTTGTGACCAATGCTTACATGATATGATTGTCCTACTCTATTTTTAGATATATTATTTATCACATCACCTAGAACTACTTTGGAATTGCTTGTTGTTGGCTTGAAATTTATGATTATGATTTGTTCATGGGCTCTTTTGATTTTCTTTTCATAAATTTCTCTGGAAATCCGATCCAGTATCCGGTTAGGTTAGTTGATTCGTCTTTCTGTTTCAGTCCAGTTTGTAGTTTTTCTTTTTTCTTGTCTGCTGTTATGGAGTACATGCACTTCCTTAAGTATCAGTCTCAGAATGAAAGATGAAATTTGTTAGGCATGTATCCCTTCTTGGAGACAAATTCCCCGGAACTACTAACACGGCACAATAATTTAGCAGTAACTTTTTTCAAAGATCTAAGGAGTCAAACATGGAAATTGTTGTTTTATATTCTCTTCTTCTCTGCATTACTATGTCATTAGAGTAAGGAACTATCATACTGATATGCTGTATCTATGTCCTTATTAATGTGTGAGCGGGCTTTATTTCAAGGTTGCGGCTTTGTTGAAAACAAAGTCCTGCTACAAACTCTTCAGTTTTCTTATCATTTTTGCTATTTTTTCAGATATGTAGCAGTTGGGAATGAGCCTTTCCTCACATCGTACAATGGTTCATTCCTGAATGTTACGTTGCCAGCACTTCAGAACATTCAAAATGCCCTTAACGAAGCCGGAGTTGGAGATTCGGTAAAGGCTACTGTGCCCTTAAATGCTGATGTCTACAACTCACCAGAAAACAACCCCGTGCCATCTGCAGGAAGGTTCCGGACTGATATTCTTCAACTAATGACCGAGATTGTCCAGTTCCTAGACAAAAATCAAGCGCCTTTCACAATAAACATCTACCCTTTCCTGAGTTTATATGGCAATGACGACTTCCCATTCAACTATGCCTTCTTTGATGGGGATACCAATCCCATTGTTGATACAGGCACTGGGATTCAGTACACCAATGTTTTCGATGCTAATTTTGATACCTTGGTCTCTTCCCTGAAAGCAGTGGGATTTGGGAATATGCCCATTGTGGTTGGGGAGGTGGGATGGCCAACGGACGGGGACAAGAATGCCAATGCAGGTAATGCTTTGAGATTTTATAATGGGCTTCTAACAAGACTTGGAACCAACAGAGGCACCCCACTGCGACCTGGATATATTGAAGTTTACTTGTTTGGACTTATTGATGAGGATGCAAAGAGCATTGCTCCAGGAAGTTTTGAGCGTCACTGGGGAATTTTCGGTTATGATGGACAGCCCAAGTTCCCGGTCGATCTTTCTGGTCAGGGTCAGAACAAGTTACTAGTGCCTGCAAAGAATGTGCAGTATCTTTCAAAAAAATGGTGCATGTTTAACCCGAACGCCAAAGATGTGAGCAAACTGGCAGATAACATAAACTATGCTTGCACCTTTTCGGATTGCACGGCATTGGAATATGGTTCTTCTTGCAACAATTTGGATGCAAACGGGAATGCTTCGTATGCGTTTAATATGTACTACCAGGTTCAGAATCAGGATGATCTGTCGTGTAACTTCCAAGGTTTGGCTACGTTGACGACACAGAACATCTCACAAGGGAATTGCAATTTCATAATTCAGATAGCAACTTCATCTGCATTTTCTCTAACACCGTCCTCCTCCTTATTCGTAGCATTGCTAGCTATGTTACTGTCCGCTTTGCTGTTGCTGTAGGATTTTGTAGATGGCTCAGATGTACTATTTTGTTTTTCTTTTGCCTGGTGCATTCTTCTGTGGCCTTGTGGGATTATTTTGGTTTCACGGATCAATTTAAAAAAAATTGATATCTTAAAGCTTCAAATTCCGCCTTGTATTTCCAGACCCATAATAATGCATATTGTTATCGGATTTTCTGTTATCTTCCTTCGTTTTCACAAATACACTTTTGTTTAGGCCCCTTGTTAAACCAACAAAACAAATACAAGGTTTAGTGACTAGCACCATTTCCATTGCCTTCGCGATTTTCGTCATTCACGACAACGGATTTCATGTATTTGGGGAGGGAATTCTAGGAGACAGAAGGATTGAGATGTTGACTGGTAAACACCTAATTTACAATATTGGGTGTAATCAACTAGTGAAGTGGGCAATTATTGACAAATTCAGTTTTACCAATTTGCCTCTTGAATTTTACGATCACTTCAAACTTGTGTCCTAAATTAATTCGTTGAACATTTTGGGACATGAACTATTATAATTAGCCACACTTCATTGTCAAATTTTGCACATTTAGTCCAATTTTACGTTTTATTTTATTTAATTTTTTTTTTCAGCTAGTTTTATGTTACTAGTCACTTTTGAGCACGTGATATGTTTTAGGAAGCAATCTTATATTTTTACTACAAAATTGTGTTAGAACTTAGAAACATCAAACTTAAAAGTCTTACACTGCATATTCGTGTTGGATTTGATTTTTTTGGCTCAAATTGGTATGAAAAAGGTTAATTTGTCCTCATAAGTGTCAAATGTGTCGAACACTTGACATTGTTATATAGAAAATTAGATGAAATGCGTAGAAATTAACAAGAAGAGGAAATTTGGCTAATTAAAATAGTTCAAATCTCAAATATTTCAAAATTCGTTCAAAACATAAAATTAACAGTTGCAATTAAGGGTAGGCATCATAATCGACCAATCCAAACTGTTTTGGTCGGTTTGGTTTGATTTTGACTAAGTGAAAAATCAAACAATTTAAAGACCAAATTGAATCCATTTATTTTGATTTTGTTCGGGTTTGATATTTTTGAAACTGACCAAAACCAAACCGAGTCGACCTTATGTTTTTTAATTATTAATTTAATTTATTTCACATGTCACCATATTATAGGTTATTCAGTGATTATTATAAGTTGTAATAACAATTAACAATTATGATATTTGTTTGTGTTTTTTGCTTAGATTGTAGCTAATAAGTTGTTTCAAACATGAGATTTTGTTTAATTGAAACTTAAGTTTCATAAAACTTAATTTTTTGATTGAATTGGAATGTGTGAAATGTGTGGATGTTTGTAAAATTAAACTCTCAGAATTTTGGACTTTTTTCATTGATATGTTGGAATAGGCATAAACTGGCCAAATCAAACTGTGGTTTAAATCACGATACTAATCAAAACCGAACCAAACTGAACAGTTAAATACTAATTGACTGGGTTATATATTGAGTGCCAAACCAAATTAAACCGAACTACACCGTTTAGGAGGGCAAGTTAGAAGATTCGTCAATAGATTTGGGGTGAAATTGGAAAGGTGAAAAAGCTAGTCTCTCACCCCATTGATCGCTTTTTGGTCCCAAACAAAAGAACTTCCTCTCTGCTCACCTCTCTCGCTCCACCACCACCTGCGTCGCGCACGGCCCCCGTACCTCCTCAACCAGACTGCACTGACCCCACAGCCACCCTGACGGTGAAGAGTCATCGTCCCAGTTCAAATACCAGGGTTCCCGTGTTTTTTATTTACTGTATTACTTGAGTTTTCTCAATCTTGTCCGTCTTCCTTGATCATTCTACTGCCGCTTCCACAATGGCGAAGAAGTATGTGACAACAGAGAATGCGCCCCTCTCTCAGTTCGGTGTATTGGTAGCGCAATTGGAGTCCATAGTCGCCTCAGCATCCCATAAACCTCAGGAGCCACTTCTATGTTTCGACCTCCTCTCCGATCTCATATCCGCCATTAACGAAGAGCCCAAGGTCCCTCTCACTCCATTCTCTTTCCACTTTTACTCAGTTTTTAGTACATTCTATTCTGCATCCGAATTGGGATTTGATATGGTATATATCTACTAAGTAGAGCTTCCGTGGTATTTTCCTTCCTTGTTTGCCCATAGTAGTGGCGACTGATGAGTCCGCATCTTGATTTGATTGATTAGATCCTGAATTCTTGTAAATAGTTTTCAAATTGTAGGGGCTGAGTTATACATATCACCACTTGGATTGATTAGATCTTCAGTACATTATAGTATTTGTTATGAGTGATGGATAAATTTCTGTACGTGTAAACTGTTAACGGTCGGTGTTGAATTGATGACTTGCAGGAATCCATTTTGTTGTGGCAAAGGAGATGCGAGGACGCATTATATTCCTTGCTTACTCTTGGTGCTCGGCGACCTGTCCGCCATCTGGCTTCAGTTGCTATGGCGAGGGTTATATCCAAGGGAGATGGCATTTCCATATACTCTCGAGCGAGCAGTCTCCAAGGCTTTCTTTCTGATGGAAGGAGGAATGAACCACAAAAAGTTGCTGGTTAGTCCAAATGACCGGACCTATTAATGTGTTCCACTTTTATGTGCATTTTGTGTGAACTGGTAATGTAGCTCTTCGGTATGTAGGTTATATGGTCTAGCTCCTAACCACTGTTTCTATTTGTTTATATATGGTTTAACTCAGTCATTTTCCTGATTTAGTGCACTTAACATTTTCCGTTTTCTGTTTTTTGTGTGTGTGTGTGTGTGTGTGTGTTTTGTTTTAACATTAATAATTATCATTTCAAATACTATGATGTAGGGGCTGCACAGTGCTTAGGAGAATTATATAGACATTTTGGGAGGCGAATCACATCAGGTTTACTTGAAACGACTATCATTGCCACGAAACTTTTCAAGTTTAATGAGGTAGTTTCATCGTATCTGTAATTTTTGCTCTAATATTTTTAGCTTTTTTCCTTTTATTGGTATAAAATTTTCAGTAAACTTTCATTATGAAAGAAGTGGAAAGGGATGAAGTGTCTTTGTCATTTTCTGCACCGAGTGAACAATGCTGCTTTTGGGAACTCTATGTTCACACTGACATTTTTACTGCTTCAACTAGTAAAGGACCCTATGGTCATTCCTAAATAGTTGGGAAGTACTAGTCAAGACTCAAAATACTTTGAAATAAAGCATTCTCCCCCAAGTATTCCGTAGGCTTGCCATATGATTGAATATTGAATATATTTTATGTTTTCATTTTTGGGTTCTTGATTTTTCTTGTTTGTTGGGCCTCTAAGTTGAACTGCATGTAACTCAGGAATTTGTGAGACAAGAAGCTTTATATATGCTTCAAAATGCTTTGGAAGGCTCTGGTGGAAACGCAGCAGCTTCAGCATATACAGAGGCATTTCGTCTCATCATGCGGTTTGCAGTTGGTGATAAATCATTTCTTGTTAGAATTGCTGCTGCAAGATGTCTGAAGGCATTTGCCATTATTGGAGGACCTAGTCTAGGGGTGGGAGAGCTAGACAGTTCAGCTTCTTATTGTGTCAAGGTAGATGCTTTTCATTGCCAAGTTTTCCTGGTTGGTCTTGTACTTTTGAGTGTTTCATATTTCAGTCTTAAACTTATCATTTGGCCGGTGCTTATAGTAGGCCCTTGAGGATCCTGTTTCTTCTGTCCGTGATGCATTTGCTGAAGCATTGGGTTCGTTGCTTGCTCTTGGAATGAATCCTCATGCACAGGTTTTCATATGTTTCTGTGATATTTTTCCTTATCTATTCGAAGTTTCATCTAACTAGGTCAACAATCTAACCATAATATGTTATTTTGCTCCTAGGTTCAACCAAGGGGGAAAGGACCTTTCCCTCCAGCAAAGAAACTGGAAGGTGGTTTGCATAGACATTTAGCATTGCCTTTCACAAAAGGTATTTTTGTTGTTTTCCTGCTAGTGTGGGTGCCCTTACATTAAGACTTTTCCTGCTACTGAATTTGAAAGATGTTCATAATTCATGGGATTAGTGAAACTAAAATTTTCCAATGTGTAGTTGGAGCTCGGTCAAAGGACGTGCGAGTTGGCATAACCTTGTCTTGGGTATTCTTTTTACAGGTAGATGCTGATATTGACTTCCTCTCCTTTTTCTTTCCCCTCTCCTTTTGTTGTTCTGGTGAATCCTGAGTTGAATTCCATGGACCAAAACCATCTTGAATACGGATAATTTATTTGACAAGAAAGTGTTATCCATTTAACAATATTTCTGCCGTTAATTTGGTTTCACTGCATTTAATGTCTGTTTTGTATGGTGTTCCCTAAACCAGTCTGCCCTCTGACAGGCCTACGTTGGAAAGGAGCATGCAGTTATTTTACATTTTGCCTGAGTAGCAGTGGTTATTTATTATTGGATTGTATATTGCAGGCGATTCGTCTAAAATACATGCATCCAGATAGCGAGCTACAAAACTATGCAATTCAGGTTATGGAAATGCTTTGTTCCGATAATTCTGTTGATGCCCATGCACTGGTATTCTTCTACAAATTCATGGCATTCAACTCTTTAATATAATGTATATTCTCTTTTAAGCTCTGTCTTTGTAAAAAGAATTGATAGATTTTAGTTTCTCAAAAAAAACAAAAAAAAAAAAAAACAAAAAACAAAGCTTAGAGGCCACATTCTTTGCACGAGTTCAATTACAGGTTGCTTTATGCCACCAGCATCAACAATGTGATATATTTTCTTTAGCACTTTTGAGAAATAAATACTGGTGCATGTCTAGATATTCTGGAATTTGAAGGATGAAATTATACTTAGATTCCAAGGCTGTGATGCTATTTTTTCTTTAGTTGCTGAATAAGGATGAACTTATCAGTATATGAAGAAGTACAAGTTTGATGCATCATGCATTAAAAAATAAGACGGTTGCTCCACTATGTACATGACCAAGCTTTTTGTTACCTAAATCTGATGGATCCATAATATGAGTTACTGTAACAACTTCATTGATTGCTAATGTTGTCATGAATCTTCTTGTTCTTTAATTTAAAGAACTGACCATTATCCCTCATTTGCTTTACTCAAGGCTTGTGTGCTCTATATCCTTCGTGTTGGTGTTACTGATCAAATGGCAGAGCCTACGCAAAGGAGTTTTTTGGGTTTTCTTGGGAATCAGGTTATCTAAATTATTTCCTGTTTTGTTGTCATGGAGGTGTTCTTTCAATTAAATCTTCTGATGGTTACATGTTGTTCTGTGCTATCCTTTGGTAATTGAATGTTTATATGAAACTTGCAGCTTATGTCTCTAGATGCCAGTCCTTCCATGAAAATTGCCGCTCTACGTACTGCATCATATACCCTGAAAACGCTGGGAGAGGTAAGTGTCTCTTCAATGATATAATAATCAATTCTTATTTTTAACTTTTGTATGGTTGTAATGTTATTTACATACTGATGTCCTGAGGAATTATTCCATTTAAATATTAATATGGTATGTTCACATTATCAGTTATATCTTGAACATTTTTCTTGCTGATTTACATCATAGAATGGAAGAACACCGTGATGTTAGTTGTTCCTCTTGTAGTTAATTTGGAAGTTGTGTTTGCTCCATCAATTTGCAGGTTCCAGTTGATTTCAAGGAAGTTCTTGACAACACTGTTGTTGCAGCAGTATCTCATTCTTCACAACTCGTAAGCTCTGATTTCTTTCTTATTTGAAGGCAAAGGTCTTTACAACAACAACAACCAAGCCTTATCCCACTAAGTGGGGTCGGGTGTTTGATAGATTAAAAATTATTATGCTCCTTTCATAGATATGATATCTCTAAGTTGAAGTTTAATTGATAATCTTTCGTCAGGTTCGAATTGAGGCTGCTTTGACATTACGTGCCCTGGCTGAGGTTGATCCCACCTGTGTTGGTGGTTTAATTTCTTATGGAGTGACCATGCTAAATGCTTTGAGAGAAAATGTGGCATATGAGAAGGTACGATGCGATGTTGACTGTTATGTCTTTTCGACTTCATTTTATTGATTTCTGGTCAATTTATTTGTCTTATGATAATGTATGTAGCTTGTTTATTCATTTGCAAGTTCTGAAAGTTTTTCTTGGTGGTAGTAGTAGCTATTGTTGCTTGATTGTTTTGTTTTGTTTTGTTTTGTTCTGTTCTGTTTTTGTTTGTTCTTTCACCAGCATGCCTATGTCAGTCATAGTGCCTTATCAAACTACTCCTGTTTATTTTGATGGTAACTGCCTGGAGTTTTTATCTTCCTGTTTTCTGCTTTCCGGTCGTGGCTTCATATTCTAGCTGTTACATGTTCTTTTTGCCTATGCCACAGTATTTCATACCACAGTGTTTCATATTCTAGCTGGTTAGTCAGCTGAGCTGGTGGTACCTCTTTTGGTTGACGCTTCTACATATAGTCTCCCACATAAATCACTTGTTGCCATGTTTTATTGGTCCTTCTCATGAAGCATCCAACTTTTTGCAATTTCTCTTTTGAAGTATCAATGTTTTCAGAGCACAGTTTAAAGTTAGCAAACCACTTTTAGGAATCTTGGGCCAGTGGAATAATGACAAACTTTTCATTGTCATATTCTGTTTGTTGATTGTAAGCATTCTTTGGAATGTGTCCTATAATCCTATTAACTATGGCATCTGTTAAGTAAATTGCTCTTATTTATGTTTCTCAGGGGAGTACTTTGCAATTAGAGCTTGATTCTTTGCATGGACAAGCTACTGTCTTGGCAGCTCTGGTGTCCATTTCCCCAAAATTACCTCTCGGTTTTCCTGCCAGGTAAAGATGTCATCTTATTTTGTGTGTCCACAAGGAACAAATAATAATTAGATATCTATAGGAGATAGCAGTCATTGGTTCTGTGGCTTAGCTGTAATAGAAGCCTTCTTATTCCCAAGAAACAGAAGTAGATACGTTGGCTATTTATCACCTTTTTTCTTAGCATCAATTGTTGGAGCAGTTTCATACTTTTTGTTTCCTTATCTTTAATTTGTTTTCTTCATGTCATATATACTGCTGGGGGCCTTTGAATTCAACCGTTTTATATTTGGCGTAGATTTTTATTGTTATGGTCATTGTTACATTCAACCTGTTTTTTTTTCCTGTCACTGTGAACTGTTGGTTTTTTAAAGCTAGTTTTTACGTGTTGCTATTACAGATTGCCCAGGTCAATCCTTGAAGTTACAAAGAAGATGCTGAATGAATCTAGTCGGAACCCAATGGCAGCTACAATTGAAAAAGAAGCTGGGTGGTTACTTTTGTCATCCCTGTTAGCTTCTATGCCAAAGGAGGTAGAAGATCATCGCTGTATCTTTTAATTTTCTTCACTAGGCAATATTCAGTTCAGTCCTGGCATCGATTCTAGATATCCTAATCTACTTTTACCTTTCAAGTCACAGGTCAAGGAGCTTGTATTATTGAATTAAAAGATATACTATATGTACGTTAAGGGGATTTTCTTCATGCATGCAGGAACTTGAAGACCAGGTTTTTGATATTCTTTCCTTGTGGGCTTCCCTCTTTACTGGAAATCTAGACGATGAAACTAACCAAACTGGAGATTTGACGAGTAGGATACGGTTAGTATGTATTGTATAATTTCTGTATACTGGCTTATGTCCTCATATTCCTCAAACTCTCTCAGTTTACTGCACTTTCCCGCTTCTGTCTTTAAACTTTTGAGATTCTCAAGGTATTTAATGCATTAGCCATTGCAGTACGATTGAACTATCTGATACAAGTTAGGGCTAGGGCGTACATGACTAATTTCATTTTCAGCGGTTAACAATTCATCTTGTTGCCTTGTAGAATGTGGTCTGCTGCAGTTGATGCACTTACTGCATTTTTAAGATGCTTTCTTTCTCCTAATGATGGGAATAACGGGATTTTGCTTCAACCTGTACTTGTATACCTGAGTAGGTAAGTTTGTTTTATCTCAATTTTGTTCTCTAATTTGTCCAGTTTATGGTTGGTTCTGGTCACTGCATGTCTTGCTGTTACAAGGACAAGTTTCATATGCTCAGTTTAAATCAGAAGCTGTGTTACTTTTAGATCATGCTCAAAACTATTTTCTGAGATGAGATGGAATGCAGGGCTTTATCGTATATATCGCTGATAGCGGCCAAGCAACTGCCAAATGTGAAGCCTGCTTTGGATATATTTATCATCCGGACATTAATAGCTTACCAGTCTCTTCCTGATCCAACAGCATATAAGAATGACCACCCCATGGTTCTTCAAATTTGCACAAGCCCATTCATGTAAAGTTAGCTGCCTATTATACTGTCGCATTACCTTGCATTTGACTTCTTTTTTCTTTCTGTCGTAAATAAAAGGGCATTAGCTCAACTGCCAAGACCTATTTAAAAATTTAAATGTTATTTTGTGTCTGACTTGGATTTTTTTCCTTGTTGCTGACATAAAAGAGAGGCTTCTGGATGTGAAGAAAGTACATGCTTGAGGTTTCTGTTAGACAAAAGAGATGCATGGTTGGGTCCCTGGATTCCTGGAAGGTGTATACCTTTCCACTGGCTTTGTCTTAAACTACTACTGAACATTGTAATTTAATTTTGTCAGAGCTTCAGAGCTTTCAGTCGTTTTCTTTGCTTCTTTTTCAGTTCAGGTGATATTTGTTTATTGTTAATTGTGTTTACTTAGAGATTGGTTTGAAGATGAACTTCGTGCATTTCAAGGTGGCAAAAACGGCCTTATTCCTTGTGTCTGGGAGAATGAAGTTTGTAGCTTTCCTCAGGTACAGTTTTTTAACTGTTGTAAGTCAGATTTGTTTATTTTAGCTTTGCTATGTTGAAGCTATTTAAGTCAGCTCCTGTACTTAATGTTTATAGAGACATGCTTCTGTCAATACTGATAGTTACTTTTTAAACTTGCTTATGAAGCCGGAACCAGTAAACAAGACATTGGTGAACCAGATGCTCCTCTGCTTTGGCGTCTTGTTTGCCTCTCAGGTAGGGAAACTTTGTCATATTTGGACTTATCTTACAATTGACTGGTTGGTCGTTGACATCAGTTGGAACTAACATCCCAGGATAGTGGGGGGATGCTGTCACTTCTTGGAATGATTGAGCAGTGCCTGAAAGCTGGAAAAAAGCAACCATGGCATGCAGCGAGCATAACCAATATATGTGTGGGGTTACTTTCAGGATTTAAGGTGCTGGTTTTACTTTTGTTATCTACTATATCTTGTTTTGCACAGTGAGCATAACCAATATATGTGTGGTTACTTTCAGGATTTAAGGTGCTGGTTTTACTTTTCTTATCTACTATATCTTGTTTTGCAATGTCTGGCATTAAAATTCATGTTTAAATGCTTTCCTCAGACTTTGCTTTCCTTGCGTCCCCAGCCATTATCACTTGAGATACTAAATTCCGCACAGGCGATATTTCAGGTGCCTAATTTAATAAAGATGGATATGTTATTGGTCAGGAAGTGTGGTACTCACACACCATCTGTACTGACATGTGTTGTCCTGATTTAACAGAGCATTCTGGCAGAGGGAGACATCTGTCCATCACAACGTAGGGCTTCATCAGAATGTCTTGGTCTTTTAGCTCGTCTTGGAAACGATATCTTTACAGCAAGAATGGTCAATTTTGTTCTTTGAATTTCTGTCATGTTGCTGACCGTGCAGCTTTCCTTTTCGTCTTTCCTTCCCACTCTGATTCATTGTTTGGGTGTCAAACAGACTAGATCTCTGCATGGTGACCTAACTGGGGCAACAGATTCAAACTATGCTGGATCAATTGCTTTTGCTCTTGGCTGCATTCATCGCAGGTGACATATTGAAATTCCTTTTAAGTTCGTTTTATGAATATTTACAGGAATATTCTGAGTGGTACTCTTAAATATTAAGTCTTAATCTTAAGTAGCATATAGAAAAGTCTATTCTATCGCTTTCTTTTGCAACCTCTTTCTATGAAGCAGATACATGCCTGAAGGTAGGTGTCGTTGTATCACACTTGCATTGCACCTCCCTTGGTGCTATTAAATTTGAAAGTTTCCTCAGAATGCAAGTCACAACTCATGAGCCATTTGCAGTTGATATATAGTTCATATCCGGGGGAGACAATTGTGATAATCACTTGAGTTAGGTCTATATATACCAAAACTATTGTTTGTTTATCACATCACATGCAGATTTTAGGATGAGTTGTTCTCTCGTGGAGTCCTACTATTACCTGATATCTTTGCCAATCCTTTTTTTTCTTTTGATTTTTAAATTTTCAATAAGTGATCCTTTTGATGATGAACTAGATATCTTAAGTAGAAGTTATACTTTTTCTCACTGTCCTTACATATTATGCCTGCAGTGCAGGAGGCATGGCATTGTCAACTTTAGTGCCTTCAACTGTGAGCTCAATCTCGTTGCTTTCTAAAAGTTCAATAGCTGGTTTACAGATATGGTCTTTGCATGGGCTTCTGTTGACCATTGAAGCTGCTGGCTTGTCCTTTGTATCTCAAGTCCAGGTAACTCATGTTTTTAATGGTTGTATGCGTTAAAGTAATGCTATTTACATTGGCATAAACTGAATACAATTTTGGCAATAGAAGGAAAGAAATTTGCAACTGTTGTGGTATCTTTTTATGTTAGATTCTGTTCAGTGCTCTCTTGAGATGGTAGTATTTTTGTTACTAATTGTTTCGTTAACTTGGATAAGTATATTGTTGTTGATTTAGACCTCGAAGTGATTTTACAGAAACTTTTGGCATGCTTTGACCTTTGTATCTCTGAGGCAACGTGATACTTCGTATTAAAAGTCAGACCCTATGACTGATTAACTGTTTGTAAACTATCAAGGGTATTGATGGTGAATAAATGACATTTGTTTGAATTACTCTGCTGCCTTGTTTAAATGATACATTTGTGAGTAGTATCGATATCTCTTGTATTGTGTACTGAAAAGTGATTGCCCTTATATGAAGTAGATTAACTGATAGGGTTTTCTTAATCAGTGATAACTGATAGCCTCTAAGTTCTAACTATGTGTATTTTTTGTTAGGTTTTGTTGTTAGAACAGACTGTCATCTTAGATTTGTACCTCTTAGCAGACAAATTTTTAGTTTGTACTTGACTCAACATGTTCTCTTGTCACATTTCTTCTCTGTAGGCAACACTTGGTCTTGCTCTGGAAATTCTTTTGTCCGAGGAGAATGGATGGGTTGCACTTCAGCAAGGTGTTGGTCGTCTTATAAATGCTATTGTTGCTGTTCTTGGTCCTGAACTTGCCCCTGGCAGTATTTTCTTTTCACGTTGCCAGGTATTATTTTATTATCATAGTTTTCCACTACCTCTGAGCTTCTGCTGTAATACTAATATGTTTTATCATGTTTGGAATTGGCATATTTCAGAACATACTGATTAAGTTTAATTTTATTTTTCTTGGTGAAATTTCAACAGACTAACTATCATCTCTTTGCATTCATATTACAGTTAATGACTGATGTCCATTTGTTGATTTTTTTTTCAATTTTTATTTTTGTAGTCTGTTGTTTCAGAGATAAGCTCTGGGCAAGAAACAGCAACGATACTCGAGTATGTATTCCAATTTGTTCAAGCCTTATTTAGTTTTCATGTAATATGTTCTCTTCTGCAATTGTTTGTTTTGGTTTTGTGTTAGAGAATAGAAATTGGCTCCATTCAAAAGCTATTATTGTTGCAGGAGTGTACGCTTTACCCAGCAACTTGTTCTTTTTGCACCACAAGCTGTTTCCGTGCACACCCATGTGCAAACTCTTCTACCTACTTTGTCCTCAAGACAGGTTTTGTTTCTGTGGCTGGTGAAATTCATATGCTTATATATTTCTGCTTCTTTCCATAATATGAAGTTTTACCCTTTTTCCTCTCCTATTTCAAACAGCCAGCATTAAGGCATCTAGCTGTTTCCACTCTACGACATCTGATTGAAAAAGATCCAGTACGCCCTCATGTTATTTTCCGTCTTCAAATACAAGTCTCATCACGATAAATCATATCATTTATTGATTCTCCATTATACAGGTCTCCATTGTTGTTGAGCAAATAGAGGAGAAGTTATTTCACATGCTGGATGAAGAAACAGATTCTGAGTATTTACTTCACTTTTAGCCTGGTTTCTTGTAGTGTGTTCTTCCCCCATCCCCCCGTTTTTTGTGACATTCATTTTTAAGTTTTATAGAGAGAGAGAGAGAGAGAGAGAGAGAGAGAGAGAGAGAGAGAGAGAAGCAAAATAACGTATCTCCCCTTATTTTTATCCTTGTAGGATAGGGGATCTGGTGCGCACCACAATCATGCGATTGCTCTATGCATCATGCCCTTCCTGTCCATCTCATTGGATATCAATTTGTCGTAATGTGGTAAGCTCCTTGAGTCTGTTTCTTTTAATCCAGAGTGTGACACGGATAATAACATTTTGGATGTAAATTTTGAAAGAAAAAAAAAAAGAGACGAAAACTATTTGGAATACCTTTATACTTCTATCCATTGAGCTTGGTTTCTTTTTGTTAATAGAAGTATGGTACTTTGTAAATCACTTTATCCCCAATTTTCTTGATTGATAAGCGTTTTCTTTTTCTTGATGGAAGAAGGCTTTGTACATGCTTATTTATACGCAGTAACTGTCTTGTCTTGGAAAGTATAATTACTAATTCAGTGAATTGTCAAAATCTTTATCAGATTCTTGCCACATCAACGCGAAGAAATGCTGATAGTAGTAGCAGCTTAGAAAATGATTCTTCAAAGGGTATAGAGGGTGACCCAAGTGTAAATTTTGGAGAAGATGATGAGAACATGGTTTCTAGCACCACAGGTGTGCTCCATGGTATTCTGAACAGAGATAAACACCTCAGATACCGAACCAGAGTTTTTGCTGCTGAGTACGTGATGATATTTTCCATGCACTGTCTGAATTTATGCATTAAATCTACTGCACAGAGGCGCACCCCCAAATGTGGCCAAAGTTCACGCATGTTGAAGGCTGCAGCCCAAGTTTGTGTCGGGCATGATTCCACAAGGCAAAAATAGACATTGTATGAAAAAGAAACAAGCAAGTGCAGCAGAAGTGCCTATGATTATTATGTCATGGACCTCAAGAAAAGAATAATCAACGAAGTTTGTGATTAATTTTAAAGTAGCAATTGAAATATCAGATGAAAGAAATTTCATTTAGCATAAAATTAATTTTAGTCTGCATACTGTACGAGCCAGAAGAAAGGTGTAAATGTGCATAGCCCATGCCTTTAGATACCCTCTTTTGTTTGACACTTACCAAGGCACAACCCCCCTTTTCCCTTTCAAAGAACTAGTCATGAACTTTTGTCTTAACTTATGCTATTCTTCGTTTAATTGATTTAGTAATTTGTTGCTTTGTAGGTGTTTGAGTTACCTACCTAAAGCTGTTGGAAAGAATCCAGCTCATTTTGATCTCTGTACTGCTAGGAGCCAACCTACTAATAGACAGGCCTCTAGTGATTGGCTCGTCCTCCATATACAAGAACTTATAGCTCTTGCATACCAGGTGTGGATGTGAAGTTTCTTTTTTCTTTTAAATTTTTATTATGTCATATCAAATGCCTGAAATACATGTTAGAGCTGACGTTTCTTGTTAATTTTCTTAGATAAGCACGATCCAGTTGGAAAACATGCAGCCAATTGGTGTGGGGCTTCTGAGTACCATTACAGATAAGGTGAGTTTGTATAAGACATGCTATTCTACTAGTTTATATGCTATCACAGCAGCACCACTTGGTTGGGTAGATTTAGGACTTCTTTGGATATTTTATCTTATTTTTCAGTTGTTCATTATGTTTCTTAATTACTAATTGAGGAAAAATCACCTCAGTCCTTTCAACCCTGTAGGAATATAGAAATTTGCAAATACAGTCCTGGGTCATGCTTGGGCTCCTAAAATCCAAGCCTTGCCTGTACTTTGTTTGGCTTTGTCTTGTTCCTCAATATTAAAGAAAATAGTTCTTATGTGTAATTGAATATGATATGTTTCATATATAGTTCTTAATACCTCTTCTTCACATCGTATTTTCTGATACATACTTGACTTCTATTTTCATTTTCCCTAAATCTTTGAAATGGAAGTAGTTTCTATTAATTACTACTCCCCTTTCCTGTCTTACGGTCTTTTAATTTATACCCCGATTGGGCTGAGACGGGAGAGCATCCTATTTTCCATTCTGTACCGTAGCCTATATGTCACTGCTATCTAGTCAGGCAAATTCCTTTGTATAATTTAAATATTTTTTTTTATTCTTATATCATGTAGTTTGTTTTGTTCATAAAAATGTCTGTCCTGTGATGCTGGGAACAGTTTGAAAAGACACCTGACCCGGAGCTTCCAGGGCATCTCCTACTAGAACAGTATCAGGTATGTCAGAAGTGTTTGTGCTTTTCTTTCACTTGCTTCTATTGGATTTCCTGGACATAGATTTTAAATTGCAAAAAGATGTCCATTATCTCTGTGATAGCTCCTTGGAGGGATTTGACAGAGTTTCAGTTTCCGTTTCTCTTTTATTGGGGGAAATGGGAGGGGTGTTTATAATTGAGGCTGTATGAAATTCAGGCCCAGCTCGTATCTGCTGTCCGCACTGCCTTAGACTCGTCCTCTGGCCCTATTCTATTGGAAGCAGGCTTCCAGCTTGCTACGAAGGTTCTCGATAAAGACAAATCTAATTTTATCTTTTCCTAGGTTTCTTCCTATTTATTTATTTGTGTAACTGACAATGTGAAATCAATTGTCATTACAGACACTGACTAGTGGAATAATTAAGGGCGATCAAATTGCTGTTAAACGCGTATATGCATTAATTTCACGACCATTGAATGAATTTAAGGACCTGTATTATCCTTCATTTGCAGAATGGGTCTCATGCAAGGTATATAAATTTCATTGTTCAACTTTGTTTTTATGTTTTCTTGATTGAAGGAATCCATTTTACGTTTTAAAGGGTAAACTAATTTATTAATTGTAATGTAGATCAAGATAAGACTTCTTGCTGCTCATGCCTCTCTCAAATGTTATACATATGCGTTCTTGAGGAGACACCATAGTGGGGTTCCTGATGAATATCTAGCATTGTTACCATTATTTTCAAAGAGTTCAAGTATGCTTGGGAAGTACTGGATTAGTGTTTTGAAGGATTACAGTTATGTATTCTTGTGCTTGCATCTTAAGACAAAGGTCAGCTAAATGATAGGAAAACTGCTAGCTTTCTTCCTTTGCATTTGTGCTTTGTTTTCACAAATATGAATTTTTTTAATGTTTTTGTGGCTACCATCTTATATTTCTTTCTTCTTACAGTGGAATCCATTTCTTGATGGAATTCAGTCACCTCTGGTATCGTCAAAGTTGCAACCTTGCTTAGAAGAATCGTGGCCAGTAATATTGCAGGCAATTGCATTGGATGCAGTTCCTGTGAATATTGAAGAGAACGAGTATTCAAACTCCACTACTCAAAATATATCAAGCAATAACTTATTGTCTGGACATCGCATGGTTAAATTGGAATCCGAAGAATATCAATTTCTTTGGGGATTTGCTCTACTGGTCTTATTTCAGGGCCAATATTCTACCCTTGGTGAACTGAAAAGTCCACTTTATTTCATTAAAGCTAGTAACGGTGGAGATTCAGCTAGTGAAGGGTTTTCTTTCCCAGGAATTAAGTTATATGAAATTGCATTACCGGTTTTCCAGTTTCTGTCGACCAAAAGGTTTGCCAGTGCGGGATTTCTCACTTTGGACATATGCAGAGAACTGCTACAGGTGGCTATCCGTTTCCTTTTCTCTTTCTCTTATTAACTCCTAAAAGATCTAATGTGTGCATAGGCATCCTGTGAAAAGACCCACATGTTCTCATATGCAGTTTTATGTAGGAAGTGATCATCTTCAATCCAGAATCGTCTGAATGACTCATTTTACTGCATTGCAATGATCAAAAGACATTGAAAAAAAGGACTGTCACAGATAAATTATTAATTGATCTCTTCAAATTCTTGGATCCTTATAGTTCTGCTCATTATTGTTTCCTTTCCTTCTAAGGTGATCATCAAATGTTATTCTGTTTATCAGTTACGATGTAAGGGAGTTAATGAGTTTGCAAGTCAAACAGAATAAGTTGTATTCTCAGCAATAGAAAATCTAGTGCAGCACACATACATTGTACAACTCACATCTTTTAATCAAAAGTCCACCTCCCTTTATATGTTTATAATTAGTAAACATTTCCTAAAGATGCAGCATTACAATGTTGTCAGTGTGGTGCAATATGGTAGTTTGATTAAGAGTTAATTGATTTCTTTTCATTATTTGTGCGGTTGGGTTACTCATGAAGCCATATGCTTCTTAACAATGAAATGAGTTTTTGTTAAGAGAAAGTAGACACCAACTTTGTCATCGTTGCAAATTCTATAATTAAGAAAAGTTTTGGAATATGACAGTGGTATCTGACATGTCACTTACGTGTTCCCTGTCTGTTTCTTTTGAATTGTGCAGTCACCAGTTTTGGTCTTCTAATATTACACAGGGCACCTGTTAACTTTGATATTTGTGTAGTAATTCTTTTTTCATATTTGACTGATGCAGGTTTTCTCATATTCTATGTGCATGGATAATTCCTGGGATAGTCTTTCAGTGTCTGTAATATCACAGGTAATAAAAAAACAAGTCTTCTTAGATAATTTAAGGCCTTTTTAGTATTATGATGAGTATCTATGCTGCTTCACATGTTGATTTTTCATATTCTAAGACAATACACGTGAAGTTCTTACCAATTAATTGAGGCTGAATTATCTTTGGATTGTGAGTTACTTTCAGAATCTTATGATGTATTTGTTCAATTACTACTTACCATTCCAGTTCCTTTGGTACCATCCACCTGCCAACATGCCTTTTTACACTCGTACTGATATGTCTAAGAACCATTTGCACTTTGCTAAACTTAAGCTCTTTCTATAAAAGTGTGTATGTGGATCTGCAGAACAATAAGTTGATCTGCAGAATAGTAAGTTGCTTTTTATTTACTTATACATATATATATATATATATATATATATTTTTTTTTTTTGAAATTTTAGTGCGCTGGCTTGGTAGGAATCATATCCTTTAATAAAGTTGGCTGCATATTTATATGTTTAGAAAATTGTGGCCAGAGATTCCTAGTTGTAATGTCAAAAAGATTTCGGTATGTAAAGACCTTATAAGAGACTAGTTCTCTGTGTGTAATGTGTCAGTCACAGATTCTGAATTTTGGTTTTATTTTGATTCTTTCAAATGTGAAGAACTTCCCTGAATCTTTTCATGAAGTGGACAACTTTACTTATTTGGCCAGGGAACCTTCCATTTACAGAGACCGTATAAGAGATTAGTTCTGTGTGTGTATTGTCTTTGTCACAGATTCTGAATTGGTGTTTTATTTTAATTCTTTCAATAGATTTTGAAGAACTGCCCTGAATCTTTTTATGAAGTGGACAACTTTGCTTATTTGGCAATGGAACTTTGTTTGGCTTATCTTTACAAAGTGTTTCAAAGGTACTGGAATCTGTCAATCTACGCACTTATTTTTACTTTTTAATTTTAAACTTCTGATATCACTCTCAATCAGCTGAATGTTCATCCCTTTTGTGTTCAGTAGTAAGGCAATTTCTCTGGACAAACTGTCGGAGGATTTGATATCCACATTATTTATCACTGCAGAAACACTTGTGAACTGTTTTCAACCAAGGGTCAGTAAGGTGTATCCATTCTTATAAGTTCGAATGGGAATGATTTCTAAGTTCTACAATTGCCGTGCACTTTTTCATAACTGTATTTTTTATAGAATTCTTAACAACTGTGTTAATCACTAATTTTCATCTTTTCACTGAACTGCATGTTTTGGCTCGCAGACACAACTAGTCTCTGCGGCATTGGCGTTTCTTTTAATTGGCTACAAGGGAATCAGAGAAGCCTCGACTGAGTTTTATTTCTCCAAGGTGGACAATTTTTTCAAGTGCACAAGTCTATTATTGAAAAGATTTATTGATGGTGAGCATTGTAACAATGAAACTGATCTGAGCAGTCTATTTATCTAATCTGATCAAAAACCAAAACTCTTCCATAGCCTCCATTTTCTTTGTTGTCAATTTACTTTCCAACATAATTCCTACACATCTACGTCCATTTGAGGCTTTTTTTCCTTCTATATTCATGTCAAAGATTATGCCAGTTTTTTTTAATAAAACAGTGGCTTCTTGATTAATAAAGTTAGGCTAAACAGAATTCATTTCGCAGATAAATCCGGTGTTGGTGAAGATGGTCTTGTTCATATGCAAAAGTTATTGGGAACTTGTCTGAATGTGATGACTGATTTGACCGAGGATTGCATTAAGTCCATTCATCTGCAGGAAAATAAGAGATCCGACTTGCACATACTACTGCAAACAAAGCTTGCTTTCTCTCTTGAACAAACTATATCATTTGCCAAGTTGGGTTATGAAATAGATTATCTTGATGAGAATAGAGATGGTGACTCCGTCTATTATCCTTTGTTTAAATACTGCACAAAATGTGTTCAAACTGTACTTAACGATTCAAATGTTCAGGTACATTCATATGCTTTCTTTGTACTTTTATGGTCATTTTTTCCAAGAATGTCAAAACTTCGTATAATTTTTTTTTTTTTTTTTCTATTGTGCACAGGTTCAATCAATTGTGTTACAAGTGCTAAGAAGTTTGGTACAGAAAACCCCAAATGCGGAAGGCAACAATTTTTTAATGCTTTTTGTTGGGGAGCTTACAGCAGATTTTTTTGTGATAATCCAGAATGCTGTAAAGGTGTTTCAGACTATCCTTTTAGATAATTATAACCCCATTTCCCATTTAGTCTCTGGTATTTGTCGTTCTGAAGGTCTTTTGTTGACAGAAACCTGTAACTGAAAAATCAGCAACTGTTGCTGGCGAATGCTTAAGACTCTTAGTAGTGCTGCAAACACTTTCAAAACCTAGTGAATGTCAGAGAGGTTTTATGAATTTACTCCTGGAAGCCGTAGTCGTGGTTTTCAAGGCTTCAGAAGAAGGTTCTTCACTGGTAATAAAATAAGCAGCCTCTACGGCCTCTAAAATTCAAACTGCCTTTTTATCACTTGTTTGACTGATGGTTTTCCAATCATGCATCATTGGCAGGAAGTCAATACATTAAGAAGCACTGCTGTAAGGCTTGTTTCTCATCTTGCTCAGCTTCCTTCCTCAGCAGTTCACTTCAAGGATGTATTGCTGTCTATGCCTGTAACACATCGACAGCAACTTCAGGTGTCTTTTCCTTTTCCTTTTCTTTGTTGGGTGCACTTGCTATTGTAGATTGGAGAATGGTATTCTATGCTGTTGTATTGGATATGTCTTGCAAAAGTATTTTGCTATTGTGTTGGAACTAACTGGAAGACTTGGGAGTTGTAGGCTCAACTTTTTATGGACACAAACAGAATTTAAATGGAATCCCTTTGTCTTTTCAGGGGTTCATCCGTGCGTCTGTGACTCAAGAGCATAATGCAACACAGCTGAAGCCCACAACTCCGTCGTTAGAGATAAAATTACCAGTTCCAACAGAGGCAAGCAAAGAGAAACCTCTGCCATCAGCCACCACAGCGCATTCTCTTTCTGATGACCAAGAAATCGAAGAGGAAGAGGATGAAGATGATTGGGATGCTTTCCAGTCTTTTCCTGCCGCTTTAAATGCAGCTGAAAGTGAAGCAAAAATAGAAAGCACGGTGGAAGAACCTGACTTGGAAGTGAATACGCAGAGTGATTACACTCATGGAGAATCTATTCTGCATCCTCCCAACAACATGGATGCAGTCAACGATACAGACCATCAGGAGGCTGGTGAAAGGGAGGTGATATCAGATGGCCTAAAATCCCCACAGGGTAACCCACCAACCAACAATACCGAGGCAGAAGAACCACGTGATCTCCAAACTAATAGCAGTATTATCGGGCCAAACGATGATCAGCATTTGATGAGAGACGAGGAAGTGGTTTCCAGACAAGAGGGAATGGCAGCAGGGTTGAACCAAGTGAGGACTGAGCATATGGCATCTGAACTTGATGATCCTAGTGAAGATGCTGAAGCATCAGTTGAGATGAATTTAGGGCATCATGTGCAGGAGAAAAAAGAGAAGGGTGATGATAAAGCAGGGCAGGTATCGTCAGATCCTCTGCCACTTGATGAGGAAGTGTCTGATAAAAGAGAAGACAAGGAAGAAGCAGCTTCCGAAAAGTCTCGCCTCAAGCACAACCTAGACTGATGGCGCTACGTTAAATTGAGAATTGTGTTACTCTTTAAGTTAACAACAGTATTGATATTATAGTCACTTGTATGAATCATAGAAACAAAAAATATGGTATGATGAGTGAAATCAGAACCCTACCCTTCTCACAAGTTACAACACTATTGCCTTTATCACCTTCAAGAGATATAGAAAAAATACACAAGTTTACTTTTTTTTTCATATTTTTCGGTCAAGATGAGAACTCTACATTTTCCATTGGAGATGGAAATAACCAACGGAATTATCAAGTGCCGCTCGTTAGTTTCAGTAAATAAGAACCCTTGCAATTAATTGCCACATATTTAATATTTTTCCATTTTTCTTTCCTATTCCTTCCTGCCCGGGTCAGAGAGAATATCTTCTTCCATTCTGGGCCTTCATGAAATTGACGAATCTGCCCTTGTATTATTATTTCATTTCCCTTCTGGGTCTTAAATTTTAATCAAACAGTGATTTCCTCGTAACCGTCCGGCCATCTTACCAGTAATCTCCACAAGAACAAACTCCAAACTGCAAGCAGCTCCTACTATGATGGTATTGAATCATCAGCGACTCAAGAGTCGTTAGCTAGATTGACACTTACTGACCGAATCGGACCAAAACACACATTTATCATACGAGATTCAATCAAAACGCTTCTACCATCAAAACTCAAAACTGCAACCGTTTTATTTATAACTTTCTCCAACATCACAATCCCATCAACCCTGCCCTGGCGCATCATCTTGCCGCACCAAGTTACCAACAACAACAACAAAGCTATTCCTGTTACATATTCACACCTAAGTGCTAACCCCCCTTCGCCACCAAACCAGAAATAACCAAAAATATCTTGCACCAGCAGCAGCAGCAGGCATTGCCTACGACAGCACTGCAAGCTACATTCAGATGTGTCTGCCAGCCAACGCCGTCTGGTATAAGCAGGATCTAAAACAAGATAAAAGAGAAATCAATTAGCAATATGCTGCTGTTGAGAGAAACAAACATCCAAAATTAAGAATTCATCGAGCAACAGATTATGCTTTCTTTGTGGTATGTGGAGAGTTATGGAGGGAAGGGAGGGCGCACCATTGCTGGACCTTCCTGAACTCTGTAAGGACAGGGTATATGTTTTCAAAGGCCTTGTATGTGTCATCCCTCACCTATGACATCAAATTAAACAAAACGTTAGCAGATCGTCCAAACGCAAAAGCAGGAGTTATTAAAATTAGATAAAACAACAAATCACCTTTGCACCCGTAATAACAATTTTCCCTGACACAAATATAAGAAGAACAATCTTCGGCTGCTTCATTCGATATATCAGCCCCGGGAAAAGCTCTGGCTCATACTGCACCCAAATAACACAAGATAATACTAGTTCTTCCTAAGACCACTACGAAGCATACACTTCCAGCCACTACGACGTTTTCATAAGTCAATTAAAAACAAAAGCAAGAGGACATATTCCATACAAGGCCTTACTTTGTACACCAAACTAAAGCATCAGAACTGCTGAATTTTGGTAACGCACTCATACCCAAAGTAAAATTATAATCTAAATGAGCTAGATATTTTAGCCTGCAACAATCTGTTTGACCCCATATGATTCATGTACTGAGTATATACATTGTCTTATTGATACAAAGTAAGTCTTCAGTCTACAACTATTGGGTATATACGGTCCTTGTACTGGTCCAATGTATGTGGGTTCATTGTATTGGTTAAATGAATGTGAGTCCATTGTACGTCTGGAGTTGTGAAGAAAGCAATACACCCAGTTTCAGCAAACTTTCTATGAATTTCGCTTTGCGTTTTAAATATTTACAATAGTGTTTAAGCAATGCATTCCTAGTTTCATAAAACTTTCTTTGGACTTCGGAGGCATGTAAAATACGTGGATCTCATTGATTATAACCCTTAAAATGAAAAATGCCCACATAAGAAGATAACTTGATCGTAAAAACATTGGCATCAAATCATAAAGGCAATCTAAAATCAATAGACAAATTATGAAACAAAAACAAAAAACATGAAAAAAGAAACCTATAAATCATATCAAATCATATTGGTCTTATGAATTGCTAAAGCCTGGGACAGATGGTTCTCACTTACACTTGAAAAGGCACCATGGGAGTAGGCAAGACCCTCAAGTCTTATCGGGAATTTAACATCACAGGAGCCAACAATATTTTGAATCTTGAAATCCTGATGCTCAGACAAGCATGTATTAAAAGAAGTAATTAAAAAATATAATATACTCTTAAAAGGTTGAATGCATGAGAGAGAGAAAGAGAGAGAGAGAGAGAGAGAGAGAGAGAGAGACCTTGAACTTAGCATTAAACCCAAGCTTCTGGATGATTCGGGCATACTGGGAACCAAAAATATCAAATCAGATAAAAGAACTCTGACACTATTCCTTGCAACCTAATAAGATTCACTCTTCTAACTAAATGAAAAGATAAATTATGAAAAAATAACCATCGATTCTAAAACCACTTCCACTCCTGACAGCGACCAATAACAAATGAAAAAATATTCAAAGTTGCAATACTTAAGGCTGACGCTCCATGCTCCAAAGCATGGGTAAAAGTCCACTGTCACTATACGCCAGACTTAAAATGCCTAAAATCAGGTCAAAACTTACAAAAACTCACATATATCACTATGTTTTTTGCTATGTTAATACCAATCTGTAAGCATTCAACAGATACCTTCCTCGCTGCCAGTTTTGATTGCTGTTCACTTTTTGCACCGGTGCATACCTGAAGTACCATAAAGATTAAAATTTAAATATATTAACCATAGGCATCCAAGGTATGATGGGTGCATAACTCAAGAATCAAGATTTAAAATCATAAATAAGGGAGGGCAGGGAAAGGAGAGGGTGTATATCAAGTTGAAAAGGGTCGACAAAATGCAATGCAGTAGTTACCAGGGTTGTGACATGAGTAAACTTAAAGCCAAATTTATTACCATAGAAGTTTAGTAAATAAACATACTCATAAAAGGATCAGTCCATCACCAAATATATATCTTAAGCATCAAAATTTAGGAATTTAAGCATCAACATACCATACATTTTCGACAAGACATGCAATCCAGAAGGACCGTAACCAATCAAACATACACTTTAATTCAGATGCAATAGTCAAAATTAGCAACCAAAAAATGCTCTCCTGTTAAGGATATTCTCTGAATTAAGCAATATCATTTGACTGCACCCAAAAATTGACACACTCATCATGTAGGATTCCAAACACATTCCGACAAGTACATAATCATCTTTGAATTTGATGCAACACATCAACAGGTAATAGCGCAATCAGTTGGGGTACGATTCAAGTAATATAAACTGTTTTATCAGATCTCACTAACAGGCAAAGATTTAAAGAACAAAGACACTTTCCACAAAAGAAGGAACTGAACAGGAGCAAAAAGATTCAAAAGCAAATCACTTCCAATAATGATATTACAACAATATGAACAGCTGAAATGAAATCATATTGTTGTTAGCAAATACAATCCTAAAAGTTTTTGGGAGGGCTCACCATCTTCCCAGAGGCAAAAATCAAAGCTGTAGTTTTAGGCTCCCTTATTCTCATAATTACAGCAGCAAAACGCTGAAAGACCATTGAATTAAAAATAAGTTAGTATTCACCACTCCAAAATGTCTAAAGAGCCAGAAAATATGCTAACAAAACCAGACTTTACTGTAGGTATAGTTTCAGGTATAAACAATTGCACACACAAGATTATTTCGGTAAAGTGAGCTAGCACCACTAAGGACCCTCTATAAAGTATTTTAGTTAAGTAAGCAAGCACCACTAAGATTATCAACATACCACTGGAACGAATTATACAGCCAAACTTACAAAAACCCTTGCATACCTTGGGGTTGTACTCTGCATTTCGAGCTTGCAACGCAATTTGCTTAAGATCCAATTTACAATCCAAGTTAACTGTAGATACGATATTCCTACAAACACAACCATGGGCAAGAATAAATCATCACTATTCTTCTTCAGAAATAAAGAACTTTGTTGATCACAGAAGGGAGGCCTATAGGGTTGAGGTTGATTAAAAAACATTGATTATGCATGGGTGTAGTCCAAGTCTTAATTTTCTTCGAAAAAATAGAACTTTACTGCTAACAAACAATAGAACTGCAAAAAGAAGAAGTGATCAAGAAGGCCACTACAGAACAAACAGAATGCAAAGACTATCAACCAGCAGCTTCTGATGACAAGTGCTAGCCACAGCTTCATTTCCAATAACAGAGACTAATATTGAAGGAAAGGTTTCTTTGGCAGATAAAATTCAAGTCCTACAAGCTTTAGACAAAGGACACAAACACACACAACAAAAAATTCATGTGGGTTGGGTAAAAAAGTCAACTTCCACCACAAAAATGCGAAAATTTCCAACTTTTCAAAAACACAAAGCATCTCACGGATACAAATGAAACAGTAGAACCCGTAATTTTGCATCTCCGTTTCCCTGCTGAAAACCACCATAACCCCGTAAACTCCGAACAGAAGCTCGCGAAACCAATCAGATCGAAACAAACCCACAACGCAAAACTCGATTCAGAAGCCATGTACATGGATATTGGATCGAGAAAATGAAACTAGAAACTTCAAACGAGAGAGAGAGAGAGAGAGAGAGAGAGAGAGACTTACTGAAGAGTGGGAACGATGCCAGAGGGGTGAATGGAAAGATCCACAGGTTGGCTCTCTTCTAATCCACCTTGATCCCCCATTCCCAGTATCCCACTTCAAGGCTTTGTCGATTTTCCAAAAATACTACTTTACGGTAAAGAAATAAATCAAATCAAAGTTTAATTCTTTAAATTTTCTTCTGGATTCCAAGCAATTGGTCTATTGATCGTCCTCAATCAGATCTGCACAAACTCCTTTTTCCACAATTTCTGAGCTTTCAATAATCTAGGGTTTCGACAATAATCGGGAAAGAAAATGAGAAGTTGAGAAATTGAAATTGGAGAGAATTCGCGGGAAATTTGGGAAATGGGGGTGGGAAATTTTCAAAAAAGATGTTCTTTTATAGGTTTTGATGTAAGAAATTGGAGAGATATGGGGGTGAGGGAGTGAAAGGGGTGGGTTTTGTATCTCAGCGGAGGAAATGCGAACGAGGATTATATGAGACTTGCGAGCAGGGCCTTTCGCTTTTGTTGCCTGGCTTGGCTTCGCCGCTTTGTCGTTTTTCTATATATATAGGCCCACCGGCTTATTCCCACCTAGCCAGTCATTCCCTTGCAATTACCGGATATTGCCGGTTTGGTCTTGTGATTTTAAATCTCCTACGCCCTGGCATTTATCTCATTTATTGACACTTGATCACTCATTTAAACTTCACTTTACAATGATAACCCTTCAATTTATATTTTTAATTTAAAAAATGGCACGTGTCACTCGAGTAAATATGTCATTTTAATTGCAGAAATTTTAAACTTTGTGTTTGTCCAAGCAGGATAAAGGGTGGCAATTGGAGTTCACAAGTTGAATTGTGTCAACAACATGATTAAACTCAATTTCAACATCACAAGATTATTTTGTTCAAACAAAACATCACAAGATTATTAATTGAGTGATTTTTCCTACAACATAATTATTGTATGTGTTACTCGATTAACTCCTTCAATGTTCGTAAATCCATAATTATTAATTAAATATACTACGCTTCTTATCAAATTCAATGTTAGTTCTTAACGAATCAACCACTAAAAGGTTGTTTCGAACTTGGCATCTATCATAAATATATTTGGTACTTTATAGCTTCTATAGTCTATTCCGTAATAGTTGAATCTAAACTTATTCATATACCTCGTGTACATATTGACGATTGATTTTATAGTTAAATCTCAACTTATTCATATTATTAACAATTTAGCATGAGCAACATACACATGATATGCATGTGTGAGAGGCTATAAGGAGTTGTAGATTATAGAAAAATTAGGACACCGAGTGACGCATTAAAGAAGTAAGGGTTAATAGAATGAACGAGGGGATATATACTTGGGAATCACTCAATCTGGGGACAACGAACTCGCTCAACGCCGCTAATCATAGATTCACTCAACACGATCAAACCTAACACTTGATTTAAGAAAGGAGAAAACTCTCTTCTTAGATTACTTTTTTAATTCACTAATTGGCTGATTTTTTAGTATATAAGGATCCAAGGAGATTACAATAATTGATAGGATAAATATTCAACACTAAAGATTATAGTTTCTAGACATCTAACTAAAACATGGCTTTGAAAGATGAAAACCCACCAACATCCACATTTACTGTAGGGATCATACTTCTTGTAGTACCTACATCAGCGTGAGTTGTAAATTGAAATAACCTTAACGCCCTTAGTTTTATGAGCAATTGTTAAAAATCATTATTACGTTAAAGGCAAATTTGAGATTTTATCCTCTTTGGTTGACGAAGAAAGTTCTCTTAATAATAGTGTGTGTGTTTATATACTGTATTTATTTCTCAAATATTAGTTTCTCAATTGTACCCAACAAGACTTATCGTGATTTGAAAAAATCTCTTCAGGTTCTCAAAATCAAACTAACACCATTGAGGTTTAGATCATTACCACATTACACCATTCGTTAAAATTTCTGACTGGCTAGGTTTGGATAAGAAGATTAACTAGCTAGGTTTGGTAACATGAGGAAGAAGCAGTGTTCAAAATATCGGTATCATGGGTTTCAGCTTACAAGTTACAAAGAAGGAAAGAAAGGTGGTGCTAGTTCTGGACGAAATGGGACATCCGGGCGACTTGTGAGCAACCTCAGCTTACAAGTTCTCCAAGTGACATTTATCATGCGGAGGAAGTACGCTGCCAAAAGCTGGATCTAAAATTTTATCACATGCACTGCTTATTTATCAGCGGATTGGGTTACGACTACCGCCCTCGGAAAGATCTCCACCTTGGCAGTCCATACAGCATTACTGCTTATGCATTTGAGGACAACAAGCTGCTACCAACTCTCTTTGCTTGCAAATTGCTATGCCGATGTGTCTGGCTGGAATTATGAAATACGCAGAGAACTTGGATGCTCGGGTCTGCATGCACATGGAAATTCAAGTATAAGAAACCAAATGCAAGTGGAGTTGTGCATATTGGTGCCAAAGATGGTTACCCACGCAAAGGCATTAAAGCTATTCAAGGTGTTAAATGTCTTCTTTTATTTTCTATGCAAGTAGCACCCTTAATTATTATAGATTGAGATTTTATTTTAGTTCTGCAAGGAATGATTCTGTGGAAGATGTAGATTAATATGCTTTGTTTGCTACATGTTGACCCTTGTTTTATTTGGTCTAGTCATTGATAAGTATTTTTATTCAGCCATATATATAGCTCTTAATGTTATGAAATGAGTGTGAATGTCCATATAAAGTAAGCATGTGGAAGATGAAAGAATGAAAGTCAAGATTATAAGCTTAATAGTGGAAGTTTGGTTCTCACTATTTTTGAATGTAAATGTTATTCATATGTTTAAAGAAACGTCGGATGAAAACCTCTATATATAGAGATATATGCTTGTATTCTCAGTACAACACACAAAGATCAATAAGAGAAAGTGAACCAATCTCTCTTTCCTCTCTTCACTTGCATTCATTGTGTGATAGTTAAAAAAATAAACAATGGGATACATCGCTTCCGTTGCACTTCGATCTCTAGGAGATGTTCCCTTTCTTTTGACCGTTTATAACACTTGCCTATTTGTTGTGTGTTGGGGCTACTTTGCTTGAGCCATTTGACTTTATTGGACTAGCTATCACGGACCGAACCTTGTATGGGTTGACCAACGAAGATTACTGGCTAGCCTACCCCATTCATCGTGGAGCCAAAGGTGGTCTGAGACCATGGGACAATTTAATGTCATAAACTTCAAACTAAAAGGGCATCCCCGAATTCGATGGCTCCTTGACATATCAACTTATGTGGGGTACACAGTCAACATCATCATACAAGCAGATACGTTGCAACTTACCCCGCCCATCGAGAATTGTCTTCCTCCAAGCAGAGAATTCGTGGGTGTTCTTTTGGTTTGAAGTTTATGATATCAAATTGTCCAACGAACTTAGGGTTTGTTTAAAAATGCTTTTAAAATGATTGAAAATATTTTCATTGAAAATGTTCTTGAAACCATTTTTTAGTAAAAATCTAAACGGATATTGGAAAAACACTTTAAGCACTTATTCTAAGAAGCACATATCTGATACTTCTTCCAAATTTAAAATACTTTTAGAATAAAAAATTAATTTCACTAAAAACGTTTTCAATAATTTAAAAATATTTTCAAACATGTCATTAGACTACTTTCGGCTCCAAAAAGACCAATACGCAACCGATCCCAAGTTGGGGCGAATTTTTTTTATAATTTTAGGGACGTTATTTCACATACAGGTATTATAGTCTAGGACTCCTAAAAAATTTACAACTTATGTACGAACCCCCGTCAACATTGATACAAATTTAAAATAGCGTGTATCTAAATCGGAATCAAAGCAACGAATCTGATTCCGAAATTTTGAAATCACAAGACAAACAGCAAGTACACACAAAATGCTAGAGTTGATCAAATGACAAATCCACCGTTGATCCGTATGACCTGGCCGTTGACCCACTCCCCAGCATCCGCCGCTAAAAACCCCACAATCCCACACACATCCTTGGGCTCGCCCAATCGACCCAGAGGGCAAGCATCCATAATCCCCTTAACCGTCTCCTCACTTTTCCCGGCAAAGAACATCTCCGTCGCCACCGGCCCCGGCGCAACGCAATTGGCAGTTATTCCGGTGCCCTTGAGCTCCTTGGCCAAAATCTTTACCATCGTCTCCACCGCCGTCTTGGAGGCCGCATAGGCTGCGTACCCAGGCGGAAGCCGCCCGGCGACGGACGATGTAATCATAATAATTCTCCCACCGCCGCCGCGCGTAACCCTATTCGCCGCTTCCCTAGAAACCAAAAACGCCCCCTTGGTGTTTACATTGAATGTGTTATCCCAGTCCTCCACCGCCGTATTGGCCACGCTAGGATATTTGGGATCCAAAACGCCCGCGCTGTTCACGACGATGTGGAGTTGGGTCCCGAATTCTTGCTCGGCTTTGTCGAAGAGCTGCTTCACCTGGTCCGGGTCCGAGACGTCTGCTCGGACCGCAATCGCTTGCGATTTTGGGGTTGTCTGGTTGAGCTCGGACACTAATTGATCTGCTTGGGCTGAGTTTGATGAAGCGTAATTGACGACGACCCTTGCGCCGAGGGAGTGGAGGTGAGCTGCAATGGCACGGCCGATGCCGCGCGAACCGCCGGTTACGATGGCTACGCGGCCGTTGAGGGGCAGGGAAGGGGAAGGGGAAGAGGAAGAGTAGTGTTCAGCTTCGCTGGTAGTAGTTTGTGCAGCCATGACTTGATGGATTGGAGGTCTGAGGTGGTGCTCATGGAGATACATGATTATTCGGTGAGGAATGATGCGTCAGCACTTACATAAGCATCACTAAAACAAAATTTTCTGAATACTCGAAATACCGAAGTTAGACATCTCAAATATTAATATGTTGATGTACGTGACAGTGACAGAGACGAATCATATATGGTGGTGACGTGTGCTAATTACTCAATAATATGTTAAAATCGATCTCACTCAGTGCATTTTTATAATAACTCTTGAGATAATACGCCAGGTGAAGAGTTTTATAATCACAAAATGAGATTTAGTATCACAAATTTTGTACACAAATATAGTTAGTAATTAGTTCACCAAAACTCATAATTACGATTCGAATCGTACTATTCTATTGTGAAAATCATATATGTAAAAAACTAATAAAAGTAGAAATCGTTTAATTAACATATAATCGGTATTGAAATATTACAAGCGGTTCATTTATTTGCTACTATTTGACTACCTAAATAATCTTAATTTTAATTGAACTTTTGCAAAGATTGTTATTTATGCTTTGTTATTTCATTTTGTTTTTGTGGTGCCTTTGGTACACGAAAACAAAATTCATGGAAAATAAAGTTCCATGCTTTTCCTTAGAGAGTGGGAAATATATCTTCCTATTACCATATTACCATGCTTAGTAAAAATGTGGGAAATATATATATATATATATATATATATTCCTATTACCATATTACCATGCTTGGCAAAGATGAGACAATAAATATGAAATAAAGGGACAAATTAGTATTTTTATTTTTTAATAGAGATAAAATTGGAAAAAAGAGTCAAATATGAAAAGTTACTAATAGTATAACTAATTTTTCAATATATAGGGAGGGTAAGAGAGGAAAAACAAACCCCCTATCTGTGTTCAAAAAAAAAAAAAAAAAAAAAAAAAAAAAACAAACCCCCTATCCTATGGATGTCCCACGTGCCAAACGCATCCTTAAGGTTTTAACCAAAACGAAGCGGCTTGAGCATTTCATCCCGTAGAACAAGAATTTTGAGAGAAACCCTAGATAGAAAAAATCCCCAACTTGCAGCGATGGCAATTGCAAGGACCGGAGTGTACGTCGACGACTATCTTGAATGTAAGCTTATGTTTCGATCCCTCAATTGGGTTTTGGTTAATTTGACTTGAATTTGAAATAAATTCGAATTGAATCTCGTGTAAATTTGAATTTTGGTTTCCAAAGACGCAAACACATTGCCTGCTGAGCTCCAGAGGCTCCTCAACACCATCCGAGAACTCGACGAACGCTCTCAATGTAAGGCCACGCTTCTTCAATTCGACCAACGCTTTCAGTTTTTGAATTTTTAGGGTTTTTGGTTTTGGCGCTTTTACGATTCAAAGTTCTGATAAGTGGATGGAATTTTTGTGTTCGGAAAAAAGCCATGATACACCAGACGAGGCAGCAGACTAAGTACTGTCTGGGATTGTCTTCACAGAGCTCAAAGAAATGGAACAATAATTATAACAACATTGAAGAAGATGAAGCCGCTATTGAGAAAATGCGGAAAGAAATCGAATCGAATCAGGATAGTGCGTTGAGCCTATGTACTGAGAAGGTTTTGTTGGCACAACAAGCTTACGACCTGGTAAGCTGAGCCTTTTCTTTTACCATATTGTAGTTGAAGTAGTCAAATGGGCTGCTGTTAAAATATGGGATTTTAATTGGTGTAACTGTATTATGGGATTTTAATTGCAAGTTCAAATGTTTTGGAATTTTTGAACCTTTTATGATTGGAACTTACAGAAAATTGACATCTTTTGTTTGCATCAGATAGATAGTCATGTAAAACGATTGGATGAGGATCTGAATCACTTTGCAGAAGATTTGAAGCAAGGTACAGTAGTTTGTGAAAGTCTAGTTTGCATTATATTTGGAAGGGATTCTGAACCATTTAACGAATGTTTTGAACAAGAGTATTTAAGTCCATGGATGAAGACAATGGGTAGAAATGTTAACAAAAATCAAAGCTTAACTGAGTTTTAAGCCTTACTATCTGCTCGACTATAGTTAGTCGATGAGAGTAGACTTCAAAGTCAAACCCCTCCCCAAAACCTGACTGGCAAATTCAAGACTGCCAAATATCTTAATGTTTGTTTTTGGTCACGATATCAGCCAATTAAGGCAGCACTTATGCTGTTTTGAGGATGCATACTTTGAAATCAATGAATCATAACATTTATTAACTACTTCTACTAAATTATGTGTTTTCTGATCCTCTCAGAAGGTAAAATAGCACCAGATGAACCAGCAGTCCTTCCTCCATTACCTATTGTTCCTAAAAACGAAAAACGCAAGCCTGTTTATATAACACCTCAATCAAAAAGGCTTGATTATAGGGATAGGGACTGGGATCGAGAGCGCGATAGGGACTTTGAGCTCATGCCTCCCCCAGGGAGCCATAAAAAGGATTATGCTGTCCCCATTGATGCTGAGCAGCCCATTGATCCAAACGAACCTACCTACTGCGTTTGCCATCAGGTTATGCCTGAAATTTTGTTATTTTCAATTTGAGCTACTCTTTGGCACCTCATTTTTACAGTTTCTTAAGTTATTTTAAAAATGTCTGCTGCATATTTTGAACTAAAGGAATTATCATCATTCTTCAGGTCTCTTTTGGAGATATGATTGCCTGTGACAATGAAAATGTAAGTCCTTATGGCTTCATTTTTGTTTAATTTCTTCTTCCCTCTCATTATCTGGTCAATTACCTTTTATGTGCTTCTTTTGGATGGAATGCATCTGTTCATTAAATTAGAAGTTCTATGGTAGAATCATCTGCAGCAACAAATATTAGCAATAGGCTACAAAATATCAATAGTAGGATCCTTTGCATTAATTTTCTCAAGATTCTTCCTTTCATGAGTGTAAATTTAAGGGAACTTAGTGTATGTTTGGGTAAGGAACTTCCAATTTGCAAGGACTTAGGCATATTGAGGAAGAACTGGAGCACAAATATTTGGATAGGAGGGATTAGAAATGTACCACATGAGCATTACAAAAGGTAATGTGAGAGGGATTTGCAAATCCCTCTTACAGGTCTTTGTAATGCTCATGTGGGGGGAATTTTCTAATTCCTCTTGTCTAACTTTTTGTGATCCATTTCTTCTTCATTTGACTAAATGCTTAAGAATTAGAAGTCCTTCACCCAAACATTAAGTGAGCGGGTTGAGTTTTGTGCCTATGTAATAGCATAATAATAAATGAGCTGGAATTCATGTGCACTCTTAAAGAATCATAGTGCATAGAGAACCCCGAAAATTCGGGGTGGCAGATTTGCTCATAGTTGTAACACTTTCAGCAGTATCTTTGTAATCACTTTCTACATGTTTTTTGGGGAAAAAAGTCGACAGTAAATCCATATCAGTTAAGTATCCAGGTGATAGATTTAGAACTTGTAACTACGAGAAATCTGGTTTTTGTTTTGCTAGTTGCATAACCTTTACAAGTTTGACTAAAAGACAGTATTGGTTCTCATTGGATGTAGAAAAATAAATATGTGCAAGGTTAATCGTATGAAGTTTGCTATTTATTGTGTTTATTGACAGTGCCAAGGAGGTGAATGGTTCCATTACGCATGTGTTGGGTTGACACCCGAGACAAGATTCAAGGGAAAGTGGTACTGTCCAACATGCAGACTACAACCACAGAGTCAACAGTGATCTCTCTCGCACGGCCTAAGAGCGGGGAGAAGGTTATGAGTCTATGACTATAATCCGTAAGGTTGGTGAAGATTGTAATAGAGAGATGATGGTGAGCTACTCAGATTCTTACACGTATCTATTTCTTTGCCATCCTTGTCTAACAACTTCCCCTCTACTCTCCTCCTTTGAAGCTCAAATTTTATTGCTTTTTATTGGGTAAAGATTATAATTATTTGGAAATCGAAATCTGAGTGAAAACACAGAATTTTCCACTGTAGAAAAAACGATCCCAGATGTAGATTCTGAAAAAACTGCAAATTCTTTCTTCTTTATTTGGAGAGATGACTTCCTCAACGAAGAATTTCTCGTATCAATGAGCTCTACTTTTATCCTGAGGTTGTAAACTACTATTCTAGTATTTTAGATATATATGATAATTAGTATTTGCTGGGCCAGGCTGCTATCTACGATAAACTAGTGTTTAAGGATCTATGGTCTATCATTTTTCCACTTGATTGTGAATATTAAAAGCGCAATTTATATGATATGAGTATACAGTTATCGTGGTTTCCATTGTCATTAATACAATGCTACGGGGATGAAAATTTACACATATCTTTGTATCGTTAGCAATTTGGCACGTGAATTATGTTTATGGTGTACCCATGCCATTTAATTCATATTCGGACGACGGGGTATTAGAGTCATTCCAATATTGAGAGGGAAAGCAGAGCGGGAAATGACCCATTTGGTATGATCTAAAAATACAGGAGTTTCCCGCCATGATTTCCGGATAAAGTTGAATGCGAATGACCAAATCAGCCTTGGGACCATCATGATTGAATGGGGATTGTCTGCCCTCTGCTTAGCGGTCACGATTAAGTTACGTCAATATTTTATATTGATTTTTTTATAGAGATAATAAGATAAAAAGCAATATGAATATAAAATGTTGATATAGTTTAACCGTGACCACTCAAATAGGAGGGGATGATGAGTGGAGGGCAGACAATCCTCATCCCCCATGATTTCTTCCATCTATCTCAGTCCTCGGAAGCTGAAACTCTAGACCTTATTTATTAATTACATCCTTGTAACATGTAATTTGAACATATCTATGTGTCTGCCTAGAAGACGAAAGAACAATTCGACCAAAGAAAAAGGATAGGAGAAGAGAACAAATGAATGATATTATTTTGACTCATTTACCTTATTTGAGTCATATTTTCATTTTTTGATGTAAAATGACACAGAATCATGAATTTATATGACTCATATTAATTAATAGAAAAAAAACAAAAATATCTTATGCATGCATATTTTATAAATGTTACACTTTAAATTTTCATCTCTTTATTAAAAATACTTTTTTAAATATTTATTTTCTTACTTTATTTTTGAAGTCGAATATCCATTCCTAATAATAAATAACAACAAAAAAAAAAGTTCAAAAGTTAAGTAGATTCAAAACCAAGGGTGGATATTTGACCACCACTCATTATCAAATTCAAAGGGTTTATTGTATAGAAAAGGGGCAATCCAATTCCCAAGGCAACCTGAAGGCCTTTGTAAAAAGTCTATTACGACGAGGGGCATTTTCGTCTAAAAGGAAAGTTTCATTGTGTGATCCAGTGGAGAAGGGAGAGCGGTGGAATTTACAAGGAAGATTTGAAATTCTGGCCTCTCTCTCTAAAATGTGTACTGCCAGAAAGGGAAAGCTCATCAATACATACAGCCCTCCTTATCATACGCTTGTGTATTACACGAATTCTTATTCAACCCCTCAAATTACAGATTCTCAAGTTCCAAACCCCTCTCTCTCTCTCTCTCTCTCTCTCAGAAACCTCCGTTTCAGCTCAGAATCAAAACCCAAGCATCAGGAGAGAGCAGCTTTGAAGGTATTTCTCAGTTCTTGATGTTAAAGGCACTAGCACTACTTTCTTCTTAAATTTCACTTTTTTTTTTTGATCTTTTATGTTTGTTAATGTTAAATCTGAGAAACCCATTTGCTATGTTGAGTTCTTGTGCTGCTTTGCCCTATCAATTTTATCTACAAAATATATTACCTTTTATCGTTTTCTGCAGCGAACGAGTATTTATCTGTTTGATTTCTATGCAAAATGTGAGGAAAGAAACCAACTTTTGTCCTCAATTTTGGAATTTTTGACATTTACGACTAAGAGATGCAGGAAAGTTTTGACATTTGTGGTTATTACTGCCGTCCAAATGCTCAAAACCTCATATTTTTCCAATTCTTGTGATTTGGGAAAGTTCCAAACATTTCCAAAGTCTTGGACTTTCATGGTTGTGCGTTCGATTCTGCGTTTCTCTTGCAAAGCTTGAAAACCCCATCTCATGAAACCATTTTGTTAGGCATTAATCATTTCAATGAACTCTTTTCTTGAATTGGATGCAGGCCAACAATGGGTAGAAGTTTAAGCCCAATACTGCGGCGTGAGTTGGAAAATCTTGATAAAGATGCTGATAGTCGTAGATCAGCAATGAAAGCACTCAAATCCTATGTGAAAGATTTGGACTCCAAGGCAATCCCCATGTTTCTTGCTCAAGTTTCTCAGACTAAAGAAACTGGTTCTTTGTCGGGAGAATGCACTATTTCGCTCTACGAAGTTCTTGCTCGTGTTCATGGTGTCAAAATAGTCCCTCTAATAAACAGCATCATGGCCACCATAATCAAGACCTTGGCTTCGAGTGCAGGGTCTTTCCCTCTTCAACAGGCATGCTCAAAGGTCGTCCCAGCTATTGCTCGATATGGGATTGACCCAACCACCCCTGAAGACAAGAAGAGGCACATTATTCATTCACTCTGCACCCCTCTCTCAGATTCCCTCTTGGGTTCTCAAGAGAGCTTGACTTCTGGAGCTGCCCTTTGCTTAAGGGCTCTTGTTGACTCAGATAATTGGCGTTTTGCTTCTGATGAGATGGTCAATAGGGTCTGTCAGAATGTTTCTGGAGCTTTGGAGGAGAAGTCCACTCAGACAAATGCACACATGGGTCTGGTTATGGCTCTTGCAAAGCGTAATGCATTAATTGTTGAACCATATGCTAGGTTGTTGATACAAGCTGGAATCCGGATATTGAATACTGGTGTAGTGGAGGGGAATTCTCAGAAACGGTTGTCAGCTATTCAAATGGTGAATTTCTTGATGAAGTGTCTGGATCCTTGGAGCATTATCTCTGAGATTGAGTTGATAATTGAAGAAATGGAGAAGTGTCAATCTGATCAGATGGCTTATGTCTCAGGGGCTGCCTTTGAAGCTCTGCAAACTGCAAGGAGAATAGCTGCAGATAAAGGTTCAAAACTTGAAAAGGCTCCTGGTTCAGCCTGTGGGTCAAATTTTAGTAGGAGAGACCATAGCAGGAGGCGAAACTTATCAAGTGCCGGTGATCAGTCTCCTGCATCAGTGTCACCTGAATCACAGACTCTGGATTCCTTTGCTGAATATGACTTTGTTGAGTCACCCGTAACAATGAGTAGTCAGGCTACCCGAAACTCAATTTATGATTGTAGGAGTGTAAACCGGAAGCTCTGGAGTCATGAGAATGGAGGAGTCGATGTGTCTCTCAAGGATGGTTTATTCTCGGAGATTGCTCAGGGTAGTGCCTTTGCGAATGGATTTCCAGGTAACTCTGGGAGTAATGAATTCATGAAATGCGATGGAGATTGCAATGAGGAATTTACAGGGTTCCAGCAAAGAAATCCTAGAAATGGAGTATCAAGAAGCACCACAACTAGTCCTCGGGTAAGTTTCACATGTACTGTTGTATATATGGTAGAATTCTGTTGTTTTTTCTTCTTTTTATTTTGAAGTTGCTATTGCTGATTTGATTGTGACGGTGGTAAAAGTAGTTATCCAACTAAATTTGGGAGCATGGGTCAAAACTTTAATTGAAAGTAATGCAGCAACAAAGTGAATAAATTGCTTGCTGGATTGTAATTGTCGTACTGATTGCCCAAAGTACTCACCATGTCTAACTCTTCGGGAAATTGTCTCTGCTGAAAAGCTTAGCATTCCATAAAAGAGTGTCAATCTTGGAATGGCATGATATGTAATAGTCGATAAAGTTTGTTGCGTTATCAATATCCCAAAAACTTAACCCAAGGACATGAACATACACTTGTTTTATGTTCTAACACTCCTCACATGTGGTTCCCTCCTCACCATTAGAGCCCTACATGTGGAATTCAACTTATGTTGAGAGGAGGAATTGTAGGGATTCAAACTCATAATATCCTGCTCTGATTCCATAATGAAATTGGTTGGTTACTTCCAAACAGCTTAAGTTGTTTGTCCAGTGAATCTCTTATAATCTCCTGCTTCCTGCTCTGATTTCTTACTTTTGCTGTCTACTGAACTTTTATTAAAATCTGCCAATCTTATGATTTTCTTTGATGTTGTTAATCTTGGGATGGTATTGGTATTGCATATTATGGTATTGAAGTTGACTAATATTGCCTCTCCTGTGCTCCAGAGGTCTCGCACTCCAATCAATGTGGACAGCATCATCTTCAATACTCCAAGAAGACTTGTTCACTCTCTTCAGGAACCAAATAATGCCAACTCAAAGTTCTCCGAAAAACTAGCTAGAAGATTTAGAAGTTTATCCATGACCGAATGTGATTGGAGCCCAAATGTCAGATATGATCAAGATGGTTATTCACATGGTGCAAACTATGATGACAGGGAACATGGTAGCTTCTATGGTGGCAGTGAGCAGTTCGAAGGTGGTCCTGAATCAGTGTCATCAACAGATGGCATTCCAGGGGATGCTGATGTTCAGGTGCCTCATGAGGTGGTTCCAGAAAATGAAATATCTCATGAGGTGGTTCCAGAAAACCAAACACAAGCTCAAAAGGCTGGCATAAAAAATCCCTATCGAAAGGCTGCTGTTAAGTTGTTTTGTGGTCTTTCTTTCACACTACTTGCAGTAGCTATGCCACTACTTTGGATTAATGACCACGGCGAAGGGCATGAAGGTTATTATCTAGTTCCAACTTAATGTACTCGCTCCCATGTTAGTCTTCTCATTCTGATGGATCAATTTCTTTTGATAAAGTGAACAATGGTGGTAGACAGTAGCATTAGCACTAGAATTTAACCATCACAACCAGTTGTGATTGGTTGATGTACTGAAGAGAATCGAACAATTTGTGTTCTTGAGGAAATGTTTATCCTTGCTTTTGAAATTGTGGTTTTTTTAAACGAGCATGTATCTTTGTGGCAAGCAATGTCTTTCATGTTTGAAAGTTGTAATCTTTCACATGCTGAGATGAATTGGAGTTTCAAAGTTCAAACAACATACTTGAGCTACTTTTATCATTTTTGTACACAATCTCATATCATAAAAGTCATTCTTTTGTATGCTTGGTACACCGAAGCTTAGAAGATAAGAGCTGAGTCATGTGTTGAGAAATTAGAGATTGGGGTTGTATAAGCGCTGTCCGCCCCTCCATGATTCATTAGGACGCACAATTATTGGTTTTAGCACGGCAGATTGGCCAACACATATATAAGCATACTTGCCATAGTCTTCATGGCTCGAGCCAGGACTGAACATGTATAGTTCATCAAACCCATCTCTTCCTACTACCACTGAGTTTCTTCTACCCTGTTCCATCACAATTCACAAAGATCTGAATTTGCTACCAAAACCTGAATCTGTAAGTGAAATATAGGAGGAAAGTACCCTGTCAATGATTGTGAAGTCGGTAGGGGCACTGGTGTATATTCGGCTCATTTGCTCTCTTAAATGCTTATAGTTGTCATCTTCTTCACCCTCCATTTCTTCTTCATTATTTCCTCTCTGATTTGTATCTTCTTGTTTGCCATCATTTTGATTATTTGGGCCCCAGCCAGCCATTTGCTGCCATAGTTTGCTGATCTGAGCTTCATTTTTCATGCCAAAGTCGTGAGGAATGATACCAAAACTTGACAAAATTGGCAACCTGGTAAAGAAATCTGATCTTTCCAAACCAATAGCATAAGTTGCATCCGGTGAGCTTACTGTCAGATGACTTAAAATAGAGCCGGTTAGTTGGAGAGATGAAGATGTAGAGTTAGAGACTACAATCTCTGAGATTAAGACATCTTGTTTGAGAGTGATAATGTATTTGATTTCAACCATGTCCTCTGAATCTGTGCTAATCAGTTCTACCTGAAATCAAATACTTGATTGATCAGGAAATTAGAATTAACTACTAGCAACTCCTCTATAGGCAGATTGTCTCATTCTCAATTACTTAGTTTCAAGCAAATGGTATATGGTGATCCAATGCATTTTGTTCTAAATATACATTATAAATTTTCTTTTGCTAGAATCTTCCGTAATATAAGATGTTTATGTTGCAAACTGTGAATTTGCGCAATTGACCAAGTTCGATTATTGTCTGAATATGTGGTCTAGAGTCTCTAGACTAGATTTTATCTTTGTTCAATTTAAGCATGTGTCCGGCAACACAACTTTGATAAGAGAACATTACTTTAAGTAGTACGACGACCTTATCCGCTACAACGTGATTAAGTTTGCAACTAGCTAGTACTGTTAAAAGAAAAATAGTTCAGAAAAAGGAACCTGAATGTGATCCTGAGGATTTCCTGTAATTTGATGAAGAGCCCAGTTCGTCGGCGACCAAGGAACTTGCTGACCCACCTCACGCGAACAGTCAAAGGCTAAAGACACCCCTCCTTGAATGGCTATGGCGGCAGCGGCACCGCCGGCACCATTCTCCTCCGATTCGGAGACTGAAGACTGCAGCAGCTCGACAGTGCCGCCATGCCACATGGAAGCCTTGTAGGAGGTGATAAGGCCACTTGGGAGCATCATGATGGCTTTACTTCCATTGTCCAGTTCCATCTTAGCCACACAGCTGTCGCCAATGGCCTTGAATACTACTCCATGGCCGCTGAACTCTTGCTCCAAGTAGTCCACGTTGACAGGTGGTTGGTAGGGGAATGATATTGAACTTGAAGCGGCCACTGATGCAACTGGGAATTCTCTCTTCTTGCTGTTGTTACTAGTACTAGTGGTAGTAGTTTTGTACAAGTGCTGCTGCAGCAACCTACTCAAACAAGAAGAAGATGAATGGTAGTCTGTGTGTTTAGCAGTACCAGAGAGAGGAGTGAAACTGTTGGGTGACAAAAATGGACTGAAAGCCGCCATGCTACTCATCACCTTCTTCTTCTGTGTTTTTCCCACCAGAGGATAAAGTGGCTTATCCCTGCTGTGCTGTTGGTTGGGATATTTTCGCTACAAGACAATTCTTATATATCTCATTCATTTCGTCCCCTTAATTGCTTTTGCCTCAGCGACATGCTAAAAAAAATCAGTAGCGACATGACTACAATCGTGATAGAACCAAATCTACCCTAACCCTAACTTGCTGAGATTTATCAAAGACAAGAACAAGAATTGGCTTTTGACTTTTGAGCAAGCTCTGCTTAAACACCAGAAGATCGACTCTAACTAATTGCCAACCAACCAGCAATTGAATGGCTCTGTAGCTTCAACTTGTAAGCTACACGTCCCACTTTGGCAATAATCTCAAATGGTCCATAAAATTGAGGATGTAGCTTATGAAAAGGATGAAGAGCCAAGAATTTTTGTTGATAAGGTACCAATTCGGTGTTGGTAAGCACGTACTGCTACGATTTGTGTCTGCTTTCAACCTGACAATTCATTTTGAGAAGAAATGATAGAACCAACGGCCGACAATTCTTGGTACCATTACAATTATATGTAAATCTGTACATATAACAAAGCGTTACACTCAATACAAATCAAGCTTTCTTTAATTCTCTAGATGGTATCATCCTTCCAGAAGAGCTAACGCTCACCTTTCAATTCTGTACCTTCTGCGTTTTCTTTCCCGCTTTTCCATTGTCATGGCCACCTCAACCCTTCCTGCATCCTTCAATATCTCCAATATGATCACCACTCCTATGGGTCGCAACAATTACCTTAGTTGGCGGTCTCAATTTCAAGATGTTCTTGAAATTCACAGCCTCGAAGACATTGTGCCCTCTGATTCTAAACCGTCCAAGAAGTTATGATACCATATAGAGAGTTAAAGAACCACTGGTGCTCAATCAAATTCAATCCCATACTTCATTGTCTGTATCATTGTACTTTTTTATATATAATTATTTACTTATCTTCTTTGGCTATAAAAGTAACATGTAAATCTTCAGCAAATACACTCAATACAAATCAAGCTTTCTTTAATTCTCTATGGGAGAAGCACTAGTCTCTGCACCTATTGCACAAGAAGGTCAACCGAAGAAGCAACAATAATCCCACTAATCCCAGCACCTACATTACCAGGAGTTCAATTGACATAACAACAAGAAGTGCACAAAAATAGGTGTAGGAAGACCCGGCAGAAGAAGACTAAGAAGGCACTTGTTGACCCTAAAAACTATCAAGCCTACGTTGCACGCAGGTTGAGTAATCAATAAGCTAACTACGTCTTTCGGTTGTGTGCGGGGCGTGCCAACTTGTCGGCCAAGCTCAGCCGAGGAGTAAAATGTGTTGATGTCGCATTGGGCGCGCTGCTGACTTCTTGATTTTGCGATTGCGGTCGAGGAAGGAACACGTCTCGGTCTTCGGGTTCTAGAGCCTGAAGACAAGGCTGCTAGTCTTGTAAAGTTCACAGGTCGTCGGCGTCGGGTTCAGTCACGATGGTTATATTCGTAAGAGTATAAGCACGCCGAACCGGTACCAAACTATACAGACACAAGTACTCAAAAGAGATGTATGTCTTGATGGTGAATGTGGTTCGGCCGTCAGAATGCTGAACTCTAAAACTTATTTGTGAATACCCAATCATAAAACAACTCGGCGTTCAATTTGTCGAGCCCAGTAATTTGTAACACCTCACTTCGCTGAGAAGGCTAATGAGATGATCTTTGCCAATAAGAATTCGAAAATCCTTCTTGACCGAGACTTGGATAGGTAATCAGTCGGCTAAGAAGCAGTGCTGTTTATCTAAATTGAAGGTGCTCCTTAATCAGTTGATTCTACGGCTCAAGTGCTGTTTATCCAAACTGAAGGTGTTGTTGGTTGCCTTCACAGTGTTGTTTATCCAAACTGAAGGTGTGTCGTCAGAAAAAGAAAATAAAAATCTCAAGGTTGTTGAGAGGTTTCGTGTAGAGCGAGAGTTTGCGCAGGGCAGTTTGTGTGTTGAATTGGGGGGCTCATTTGTTGCAACGCACCTTGTATTTATAGCATTCATATCTTCTGCTTGATACGGCCAGATAATTTTGTAGAGTCCAACTGCAACTCTAACTCGCGGAACTAAAATTGATCTGTATCAAATGTCAAGGCATATCCTTCAGATTTCGTGACTTTCAAACAAAATAAAGCATAGGCTTTATCACATCACATCACATCAGAAACCTAGCCCACCTAGACTTCTTATCTCATCAAAAACTCCATCAAAAGCCTTTAAACTCATGATAACTTCCATCACCATGCAAACAGGGCCTAGCCTACCTAGGATTCTTATCTCATCATTAGCCAAGATCATCAAATCTTAGACTTATCACATCACCACCAAATACCATGCCTATCCTAATCAAAATGAATTTCAAATTCATTTTTAGATTCCAAGTGCTATCAGACATCCCAAATCAATTCGAACTGTACTGCTTGCTTGGGATATAATTCACATTCTATTTATCTGGTTTAAGAAGATGCAGATAATACATATTAAAAAATAATTATTATGATAAAAACCATAAAATTATCCTTTAATAATAACAAAATTATCTTCACTTTTTTATCCAACAGTTGGGAGCTATGCTCACTCAACGACCTTGATTGCATGGGCCGATGGTGTAAATTTGCGTCCAAACATTGCCCCCCAGTTTCCTTGATTTTCGGCTTGTAAGCCGGATGGTTAAGGAAATTAATTGTTCGTAGCCAACAAAATCTCGTTGTATCGCTGAAAATGAAACTTTGTTCCTTGGTAATAACATGTCTGTTTTGCTAACGTTGAGGTCTTCCTCGATTGCCACAATTCTATACAAGGCTCGGCGACTTTGCTAGAAAAACCTTCTAATTACTTTGACCATCCAACTCATACGGTCGAATTGCAAATGGGGCCGAGAAGAACCTGATTCTTGGTAGCTCGACCTGTCACCCATTATGAATGTTGCAATCACTTTTATGAAACAATCACATGTGGACAGCTCGGCCAAGTTTAGCCTGTCATTCAGCCATCCACTCTTCAGCATTATTATATATATATATATATATATATATATATATATATATATATAACATCAAGACCATAAAAAATAAAATCAAATCTTGGCCTATTGGCCTACTCTGTCCAACTTGGAATGATGTTGTTAGCCATGCATATTTCTATCACATTTTATTCTTTTATGACTCCCAGCTTCACCAAAGTGTCTCTGCTAAACTCACCAAATAACATCCTTATTTATTTGATGCTTTTTAAGTCCAAAAACTTGAAGAAATTCTGGGAAAACCAAAACAAGTGTCTCCAATGAGATTGGGGGCCGAGACAAACCACTTTTGGTAGCTCGGCCTGTCATCAATCAAAGTCAGCAACACAGCAATCCTGACATAACACATTACACAAACACTTTTTCATGTAAGCTCATTCGGTTGTATGCGGGGTGTGCCAACTCGTGGGCTGAGCTCGGCCGGGGAGTAAAATGTGTTAATGTCGCGTTGGGCGCGTTACTGACTTCTTGATCTTGCAATTGTGGCCGAGGAAGGAACATGTCTCGGCCTTCAGGTTCTAGAGCTTGAAGACAAGGCTGCTATTCTTGTGAAGTTCATGGGTCGTCGATGCCGGGTTTAGCCACGGTGATTATATTCGTAAGAGTATAAGCACATTGAACTGACACCAAACTATACGGACACAAGTACCCAAAAGAGATGTATGTCTTGATGGTGAGTGTGGTTCGGTCGTCAGAATGCCGAACTCTAAAACTTACTTGTGAATACCCAATCATAAAATAAATCGGCGTTCAATGTGTCGAGCCCAGTAATCTGTAACACCTCACTTCGCCGAGAAGGCTAATGAGATGACCTCTGCTAATAAGGATTCGAAAATCCTTCTCGACCGAGACTTGGATAGGTAATCAGTCGGTCGAGAAGCAGTGCTGTTTATCCAAACTAAAGGTGCTCTTTAATTGGTTGATTCTACGACTCCAGTGTTGTTTATCCAAACTGAAGGTGTCGCCGGTTGCCTTCATAGTGCTGTTTATCCAAACTGAAGGTGTGTCGACAGAAAAAGAAAATAAAAATCTCAAGGTTGTTGAGAGGTTTTGCGTAGAGCGAGAGTTTGCGTAAGGCAACTTGTGTGTTGAATTGGGGGGCTCATTTGTTGCAACGCACCTTGTATTTATAGCATTCATATCTTCTGCTTGATACGGCCAGATAATTTTGTAGAGTCCAACTGCAACTCTAACTTGCGGAACTAAAATTGATATGTGTCAAATGCCAAAGCATATCCTTCAGATTTCGTGACTTTCAAACAAATAAAGCCTAGGCTTTATCACATCACGTCATAAACCTAGCCCACCTAGGCTTCTTATCTCATAAAAAACTCCATTAGAAGCCTTTAAACTTATTTGATAACTTCCATCACCATGCAAACAGGGCCTAACCTACCTAGACTTCTTATCTCATCATTATCCAAGACCATCAAATCTTAGACTTATCACATCACCACCAAAAGCCATGCCTATCCTGATCAAAATGAATTTGAAATTCATTTTTAGCTTCCAAGTGCCGTCAGACATCCCAAATCAATTCGAACTGTACTGCTTGCTTGGGATATAATTCGCATCCTATTTATCTGGTTTAGGAAGATGCAAATAATTCATATTAAAAAATAATTATTCTGATAAAAATCATAATATTATCCTTTAACAATAACAAAATTATCTTCACTTTTCTATCCGACGGTTGGGAGCTATGCTCACTCAACGACCTTGATTGTACGGGCCGATGGTGTAAATTTGGCTCCAAACAACACTATAAGACTAAACTTATCAAAACATAAGTTAAGAGATTAAGCTCATGAATCACAAATTTATACGATTATTGAAATCACAATTCAATAATCGCAATAACAAACTAACCCGTAGAAGAAGTAAAAGAAAAGCCAAAGCAGACTTCTAAATAATGCACCTTCCCTCTCTTGCAAAACCAAAAGTACTCAAACTAACAATAGGTCTTAGTTCAATATTGAGGGTACATTTGGTGACATTTAGGCATAAAAAAATGTGGGTGATTTGGTTTAATTTGCTTTGCTTTGGATATGGTATCGTGTTAATTTATGATTTAGGCATCAAAAATGGGATTTTGTTTCCTGAAGAGAAAAGATGGAGGTGAAGATTGTTTCCCAAATGATCAGAGCTGAAATAACTCAGCCGATTATATTGTGTTAACAGGGACACCAAGCCACATCGATACAAATACGTACAAATTATCAAGAATTAGTATAGGTTTAGACATCGATAGAAATACAACAAGAATGAAAGTAAAGAAAATTTTGAATGTAACGAATGATAACTTAGTGTGTCTGAATGCATGATGCACATATTGTATGGTACTGCCTTTCGTTGTTATTTGGTTGCATTTGTCTGTGGTTGCTTTTGCAGCTCCTTGCCGATTAATTTATATAGTTTTAGGTGACGATCACTTTTTATATTCATATTTAGTATTTCATGGTTTATAGATGTGGTTTGATTTTGATTGCTGGATGAGGAAATCAAGCATGTCTATGACTTGGTTTTGGTTGTTTTAAAATATATGCTAGTGTGCCTGTTTATGTAGTTATATGTCTGTTTTTTGTTGTAACAAAGTTATTTTCTTTGTCTGTATTTGTTTCTCCTCAATTTGTCGCTGCATCTGTGTACTTTCTTTGTTTACGTGGCTTGCACTGTTTGTTTGCCGGTGGTTTTGGTTTGGTCATTGGCAAAAAAGCCTTTACATCCATCTATATCTTGATATCATTGGCAAAAAAGCCTCTACATCCATCCATCTATGTCTTGATGTATGCGGGAAACTCCTGTCTTGATCTATGTTGGGTTTATACATGTTTTTTCAGTGATTTTGATGCTGCCAAACTTATCTTAATGTATCACTTCTGACATTTTATTCTGCTTCCTCTGGTAATTGTACTTAATTAATAGAATTTTAGATGTTTTCATTTTCGGTTCATTTAGTTAGTCAAGGTATTAATCTTCTGCAGATTACGACATCATTTTGTTGTTCATCTGGTTTTTTTTCCCCTATTTATAACACGTCATGATCAGTGGCTCCCAAGCTTAATTGAAAGGGATTGGCATTTTAATTAGCTAGGATCTAATTTGAAAATTACGTTTTATACACCAGTATTCCAAATATATTGCAATTTATTTCATTTCTGTTCTTTTTTTTGTTTGGCAAGCGAACACCGATGTACAAAGGTGATTACTCAAGTGCTAGAATATACTAGGCATTTTCTTAGGCAACTTGAAATTATGCAGGTAAATGCAAAGTTCAATGCCTTTATACAGCGTATTCTCAACTTTTAATGCATTTTCAATCTGGTCTTTAATTTGTTTTTATTAGGCTCATGAAGTTTGATTACACTCTTCATTTTCAATTGTACCAATTAGGCTCATAAAGTGGTTCAAAGAGCTCCAAGAGCTTGATTCATCCATTTTATACTTTTCATGTAAAACTTCTTTCAAAAAGTTAAAACATCTTTCATTGTAAATAAATTAACCATAGGTAACAATCTTTTATCCCTTCTTTTGTTTTTTGCTGCATTGTTTAGGTGGTGAATTGCGTGGAAAATGGGGGAGGGTTACAATTTATTTAATTTGAGCAAAATAGTAGCATTTAAGCTTAGTTGGTTAGTGAGGATTAGAGTCAATAAGGCGTCCTCTATCTATATCAAAAATCTGAATTCATTGAATGATGAATGAGGTTGTAGTGAGAGAAATTGAGAAAGTTAAGAAAAGACGATAGATGAAGCTACAAATATACGACAAACAATAATAATACATAAATTCATCTACGTTGGTTTATTAAACTTCGTCAAGCAGGCCTTTTGCCTTAGTTGGGATTTAGTTTGGTACTTTCATACTAATTTCCATTGTTTATAATAGTTAACCAACTAAAAGTGCTTTCTTTTGATTATTTTCCAATATGTTTTAGCTAGTTGACAATCCTAACAGATTTACTTAGGCACCCATCAAATTGTGTATTATTATACATGTACCTAACATATAATGCTAGATATATTTTTATAGTTGTCTCATATTATATAAAAAAATTATAAGTACCCTCTCTCTACATGAAAACTATCCATTTCATCATGCATTTTTTAGTTAAGCTACTATGTTTTTGTAATTGTTTTGACTGAGGAGGAGGAACAGAGGCTAAAGTACCTTCAATTTGTTCAAGAGGAACCTCATGCCGCAGTTTGCTTCACAAACCTTTACGGTTAGTTCCATACAGTATGTTGTATGTTTGGGGATATCTCTACATCTTAATTTCTGCTCTCAGGTTGCTAAAAGTTTGTAATTTTACTTGCTACTTGATTATAAAAATGTAAAACAAAATCTGTACGTGATTTACAAATTTATATTTGATTTTAGACGTTTTTCCAGTGTAAGGCATATGTTGCACATGCATGAAAACGGTACAAGTTGTTTTGGTTTTGGATAGTAAGCTTTTGAGTTTTGCAACCATTGTGACTCGAACAAATTTAGTGTGAAAGGGGATACAATTTGGTTCTCCTTAATACATAATATAACAAAGGCCTAGAAATTTTCCTTCAAGGAATATGCAAATTTTTTTTGCGCATCTTAGCATGCAGTTTTTATGAAGGGGTATTAATGTGTGTTATTTACATTGGTGCATTTGAGGGTGTGATTCCGTTCTTACCGCCTTTTTAGTGCATTTTTTTGTGCATACCTGTTGTGATTAATACATTCAATCTTCGCTGTAGACACATTTTTTAGTATACTTTCATCTTCCATTATATTTAATTTCCTCCAATACCTCACCCACTAACAAAAGGTAGATATCTTTGAAATCTTTAGTGGACGAATGGTTTGAATTCAAGATACCATTAGGTTGGCTCACCACACCTTTAAATAGAACTCTGAAAAGAGTTGAAATCAATAACATAATTGTGATTTTGGTGAGTTCTTTTTTTCATGACTAAAGCGTTTGACGGAAGAAAAAAAAAAGTAAATACTTTTTGGTCAAAAGGAAATTTGCTGTTAGTGCTCTCCAAAGTTGTGAGAAATTTCTATACAGGAAATCAAGCACAATTTTTTTAGTCTCTCAATCCTCTATTATAATGTTCGCTATTTTCGTTTAATTTATTTAATTTATTGTCAGAAATAAAAAGAGATGCGTGAAATTCATCTCCTTTATAAAATACCCTTCTTTATAGAAGTAACTTGCATTAAACAAATTTATTATCATTGTAATATCTCAATCCAATAATATAATGTCATACTTTTAACATTTTAAATGGTTAATGTGAATTACTTAAACAAGTAAACAACAACCACAAAGTGTACACTTATTTACAGGCTTTGCCATCGTTTTCCCCGACATGACCAATCCTTCTCCCCTCCACTGCATACGCGGCTACGCCTCTTGCTAACAATACCTCACTTCTTTGACTGTAAGGCCTCGTTTGATGAGGAGGACTAAATGGGATATGACAATTCACTACAATGAACCTATTTTAAAGGAAAAAATGGATGAAAACTTCTATATTTTGTCCAAGTTGAAAGTTACTCATGAATAAAAGATATACTATTCGTCCTCATAAAAATGGTTTAAAAGAGAGAATTTTTCTTCAATTGGACAAAATAAAGAAGTTGTCATTCATTTCTTTCTTTAAAGTATCTTCAAATGAGGCCTGAAAATGTCGTTTGTTCGTAATTAGGGCCTTAATATTCACCCATTTCATGGAAATGAAATCCACTGCTTAATTGTTCCTTAGCAAATACTTTTGTTCCTTATATATATAAAGAAGCCACGACAATAAATATCTCAAACAACCAGAGCACAAGTACAAAGAAAAAGCCTTCTTAACTTTTTAATTCATCGACTCTTTTCTTTGTCAAGGGATTTTCCAACCCTTGGACCATAAACCTTTCATCCCATAGCAATCTCAATCTCAATCTTAGAGCAATCCGATGGCATTTCACACTTGATCAATATAGTTTTATTTGCTCATCTATTTACTTGATTGTAAGTTTCCAGTCCAGTTTATACATATTTCTTTTTGTGCAAGCTGTGTTTCTTTGTTTATCTCCAAGCATTTCAATTGGATATAACCACTTTATATTCAATTCATATTCCAACAATCTTGTCATTTTTATAATATCTACATGAGAAAAGTCCACAAAGCAAAGAAGGAACCTAAACTTGAGTCTCTCTCAATCAATGACACAATCTTTTGATTAGAAGTTAAATAGCGGAATTTCCATCACACATATCGTCTATTAGTGAAAACTAGTAGTGGCACGCTCGCTCTCTTGAAATCCATGTTTATATAAATTTCCGGCCTACATGCAAGGCATATGCATGTGCAATTTATTTGTAGGCAATGTTCTAAAAAACGGCCTAGGCGGCGCCTAGGCCCTGGACGGTGGTGAGCCAAGGCGTTTTCTTGCAAATCGGTAGGAAAAATCGGATGGGCTCTAGGTGGCTTTTTTTATTTTTTTATTTTTATTTTTTTTTTATATTTTATTAATGAAATTGAAAAATAAAATAAAATAAATCCTATCTAAGTCTAAGTGGTTTAAAATTGTGAACTTATTGTACATGTGTCATCCTACAATACTCCTCACGATGGTTATATGGCATATATGCTTAATGTGTTTTTAAATTTTGGACTTGTTGGATATTTTTTTTGCATTTTATCATTCTTTTATTATCTTATCCATGTATTTCATAGAAGTATAATTTTTTGTAAGTGTCAATATGTACTTATTTAAAAGATATACAAGAAATTTACCTAAATCTACCCGGGCCGCCTAGGCTCTAGGCGGCAGCCTGCCGCCCGACTAGCGCCTAACGTTTTTTAGAACCTTGTTTGTAGGTGAAATTTATTTGTCGAACAAATACATATCTCATGAAAGGTTCAAAGGGAAACATATTGATGCAACACAGAAATACTACGAAACTAGTTGTGCTGAAGTTATTTCCATGCATCGTACGCACGGTAGCAAAATACCAAATCAGTAAAAACGAAATGGAGTCTCATTAGAGAGCCATCATCTTTATTCAAAGTGTCTCAGGCTCAGGCTTCCCACCCCCTGAGGACAGTCGCCCTTGCAACGCGGTTAACTCCGAGCGTGAAGGCTCCCATCCGGAGATCGCAGTTATGGGTTTTGCACATCTCCTTCACACCTTTGAAGCCTTTGGTCATGTAAGTCCTGAGCTCATTGTTCACCTTCTCTTCATCCCACAAGAATCCTTGAATGTTCTGCAATTTATGCACCACCAATTTAGTAGCATGAGATTAAAATAATAAACATGGCTATTGTATTGTAAAGTTAAAATGTATTGACAATATGTATGTGGTGTATATGATATATACCTGCACCCACTCAAGGTAACTAACAGTAACTCCTCCAGAGTTTGCATATATATCAGGAAGAATTACAACACCTTTCTTTGACAGGATCTGCAAAATAGAGGAAAGAATGTTCATTTTAACTAATTAAACATTACTGGTGTTTTAATTGTCCCCTTTCTAAATCTAATTGTCAAGCAATTAACAAAGCACCAACCTCATCAGCCTCAGGGTCAGTAGGATGATTAGCCGCTTCGATTATAAATTTAGCTTTTATGTCATTTGCGTTTTCCCTACATTCAAAAACAACAGTTGGATCATCATGGCTAGCCATATTAATTTCAGGATTTTCATTATGTTTCGAAAATCTTGATGTAGTTTCTGTACTGCTTATTAGAAATTAGAATTATGTAGTACGTACTTGTTGATGACACCTCCGAGGGCTGCTGGAATGAGAATGTCACAATCTTCAACCAAGATTGAGCTGGGTTCTATTGGATCCCCACCATGGAAGCCCTTGACTCCCCTGTTGTCTTTGACATGCTTGAGCAGGCTTGGAATGTCAAGTCCTTCGCTGTTCTTTAGGGCTCCAGTGATGTCACTCACTGCAACTATTTTGCCACCACCCTCATGGATTAGCTGGGCCGCCCACGAGCCTACATTCCCAAAACCCTGAAATCGATTTAGTTTAGCTTAGACAACAAGTTAAATCAATTGAAATCTAATCCAGGCTCAAGTCTCAGACTCTCAACCATATAAACTTTTTGTGTTCAGTAAAAGTCCACCTGTATAACAAACTGTTGTCCGGAGATGCTCTTTCCATATTCATTGAGTAATGCCTCTGTTGCAAAAAGTATTCCTCTTCCCGTTGCTGCATCTCTTCCTAGTGATCCACCAAGATCCTGATTAACAAAAAAAAAAATTACAGAATGTTACGCAATAAAAACAAACAAAATTTGTAGCACAGGTATGAACTATTGCAAGACAAGACTGCCATGAATCGAATAAAGGAGGACAATTTAACTGAAGTAACTTTTTTATTATGATTTACTTACAATAGGCTTTCCAGTCACTACTGCAGGTGAGTAGCCATGAAACTTTGAGTACTCATCTAGTATCCATGCCATGGTCTGTTTAAACCAAAAAAAAAAAAAAAAAAAAATGGAAAAAGATTGAGAGAAAAAAATGCTAAAATTCAGTCCAAAGTTTAGAAGACATTCAAGCTGATCAACTTGATTAATTAGCAGCTTCAGCTAGTGATCAAATCTCATGTAAAGAATTAATGAAAAATGTGCCATGCTCAACCTGTGGACCTGTCCCCATATCTGGTGCTGGAACATCGGTGTGGATTCCGATAAGATCGTGTATCTTTTGTGTGAATACTCTGGTAAGTCGTTCTAGTTCAGAAATACTCAACTTCCCTGGATCACATCCTATACCTCCTTTGGCACCACCATACGGGATGTTGGCTACCGCGGTCTTCCATGTCATGAGCTGTGCTAAAGCATTCACCTCATCTGGATCAACCTACATTTTCCGTAGATGGATCCATAACAGTTAGAGACACTTTTATGGCAACGAGTCTTGATACATGACAACCATTTGCATTTGTCGAAGTGAAACGTAACAAAGTATGCATATACCTCTGGGTGATATCTGATTCCTCCCTTCATAGGGCCTCTAGCATTGTCATGTTGAACCCTGAAGCCAACGAATGAAGCCAAACTGCCATCGTCTTTCGGTATAGTACACTCAACCTGCACCGAAATATATAGTTCAAAATCAATGAAAAGAGAAAACTCCAACTCTGTAAATAATCTTCTATATCCTCAAATTGTATCCTAGAATTAAAAATGCAGTTACACATGTGAAATATCTTCTGAAAATGATGGAATTGAAACTGAAATATTCATGGCTAAAGCGTAAATGAAAATAGACGAACAGTTGGGAAATTTCTTTTAGTTTGATAAGAAATTTGGTGACAAGTTTGAGTCAACTATGTATTAAGGTTTAAACAAAAACAATCCATGAATGTTCTTGATGTTTCCCTGGATGTAAGAAAAATATCCACTTTAATTTTAGAGTGAAATCTACTAATAATTAAGACCAAGGGGTATACAGAAGGGAGATTATATGCATAATTACCTTGATTTCCCTAAATGGTATCAGTAAACTTTTCTCAAGCTTGGAGTCCAATCCCAAAAGCCGAGCAGCCAACTTAAAATTTCTGTTGGTTGCCACTAATGCATTCATCTTTGTTCCTTCTTCAACTGTCTGTCTCAGAAGCTAAAAGCTCAGCTATTTCAATTCGCTTTTCTAGCTAGCTATTATTAAGAATTATACGTCAATTTGCACTCTATAACAATTTTTCAAAGTAAATGACCATTAATGATAACATTTCAGTAACTTCAACCCCAGTCTGCATATTATATTATGTATAAAACAAACTTACCAAAAAAATAAAAATTGTGCCAGTACTTGCTGACGATTTGCTCTTACGAACATAGAACTGGTTCTCCAAACACACTCTGATTATTACAACATTTTATATATGTGTTGATTTCGGTGAAGAATTGTTTTGAAGTTCATGAAACTTAGCCAAGTAGTTATATTTTTCTGAAGAGATTAAAGTAATTGATTATTAAGGTTACTATTTTCATAGTTTCAACGATTTACAGTACATAATTAACTTTAAGTTTCTCACACTCATAATACTTGATTATGATCAATTGCACTAGGTATCTATAATTAAACAGCAGCACTAGTACAGTAAAGTGTCTAACCCACATTTGTCTTCACCTTTTTTGCCAATCTCCCGTATTCTCATCAAGCAACATCAATCATGCATTTATAACATATTGGCAATTATGTGCACGCCACGACACAATGCACAAGTACAAGTACAATATCTTTTCATTTTCCAAAAGTAAATAGTGACAAATCAAACAACACAATGTGATAGACAAATTCATGTGGTGTAGACGACCTACCTGCGAATGTTTGCATATTGGAAAGTAAGTGCCTTACTGATAATCACCTAAAAAGCATGATTCCATGCTCAGAAACTTCTAAGATCACTTTTATCTCCAAAGAAAAGAAAGAACACAAAGGAAAGATGAAAGAAATGGTTCTGAGATTTGCGGAAACAGAAGGATCAACAAGCCATATAACAGCAAGGTCACCCTTCAGCTTTTCAAGTGTGCAGTTCAAGCAAACTTTATACCTAGATATTTCTTCGTATATAATAAATAAATACTAGGTACGTATTCAAGACATGTGAATTAGCTTCTTAACACGTAATTCTCTAGCATGTGAATTAGCTTCAGTGTTTTCCTTTTCAACTTTTATTTTCCATTTCCATTTTCTTTGATCAAGAAAAGGTGCATGTCCCTTTTTTTATACGTCGACTCATTTGTAACGTGCTTGCAAGAAATATTACCCTTAAGCAAATTCAGTACGAAATTGGTATTGATGATGATAAAATCACGAGGGTTCCAAAACCAATACAGATCAATAGCCAAAGAATTGTAGTGGAATTTAGAGAGACAAGGAAGAATATATGTGTATGTGTAGATATATATACATATAGACACTGACTAATTGAAAGAGAGAGAGGGAGAGAGACCAACAGGAGGAACCCGAAATGCAGCGGCAGCCAACACTGATCAATCGAGCTTATATGTTGTAGTTAAATGACTACTGAGAGAATCGAATTTGAACTGTGGATATAAATATATATAGATGTCGATAATGCATATATGAGTAAAACCGAGGGAATTGCGACAAAAGTAGAATCCAATTCTCTAGCTATTGCTACTATGGAATTCTTGAGAGTTGAGACTTATGTGCGCACATATATATATATATATATATAGACACACACACGTGCGTGTGTAATTGTATATATAAAGAAGATAGTCATATCATTCTGAAAAGTGTAAGAGCTCGTTTGGAATTGTTTTTGGTGAAATTAATTTTGGGTTCCAAAAACACTTTAAATGCTTTTTGGAAGAAGCACTTTAAATGCTTTGTGGAATAAGCACTTTAAATGCTTTATGGAATAAGCACAAGATATGTACTACTTGAAGGAAACACCAGATATGTACTTTTTGAAGGAAACACTTAAATGCTTTTCCAAGGCACTTGGATTTTACCAAGGATTAATTTCAAAAATATTGTCACTAAAAACGCTTTCAATCATTTTAAAAGTACCTCCAAACGAGTTCTAAAGTGATGATGATGATGATTAATTCCATCTCACATGACAGGAATACGAATATATACGATGCTCCTACCCCTGTGGGATTTTGTACCACTTAGATTCCCACACACGATCACACTTGACACTGCCACCTTCCCATTCATTTCCACACATTATTCTTAAATATTCAGTATTACTCTAAGCAGGGTATAAAACAATGATGTGTGCATGAGGAGAGAGAGAGAGAGATGAGAAGTGAATTACAGGAGACAAAGGGCGCATGCATATGCATCTATATATACGTGAAACTGAAAACTTGTTACAGGATGTTTTAGTTGGACTACTAATTAATTAAAAGCTCCCAAATTGACGAGCAATTAATTAGTGGCCCTTCGTAGTATTGCCCTCAGTCTGGTTCCGCACATGGTAGTGTTTGTAGTGCTCGGGTTTGAGACCGCCTAAAGAGATGCTAAAGAGACGCCTCTTAATTTGTGGGTGACTAGTGAAAACTGTTAGAGAATGAATTCCATATTAATTTCAACGGCTACACGTGTTTAATCTTATGTAAGGGGTATGTTGAAAATGAATCTCATGTTAGTGGGTGCAACGATTTTACATGTGCTTATGAGTCATTGGGCTACTTCCCTTATTGCCAATTAGTTTTATAGTGGAAGCCAAATTTTTTCTTTTTCATATTACTAGAGTAGGTTGTCCAACATGTGAAACCCAATGGCCACATGTGCTCCACCTCATGTGAGATGACATATTGAGAATGAATCCCACATTAATGGGGGAAGGGACTTTACATGTACTTATAAGTAATTGGACTATTCCATTTATTGCCAATTAATTTTACGGTGAAACCCTAACTTTTTTTAAAATCATTTAAGCATGCTGATGTGGTCGCATTACATATTAATAGCAACATTATACGTGTTATATATAACTTGTGTAGGTTCAACATGCATACAACATTGCCACTCAGTACTACGGTCGGGTGATATTTCTCTTTACTTTTAAGTGAGAGGTTTTAGGTTTGAATCTCGTGGATGACGAATTTGATACCAAATTAGATTGCTCATTGTGTAATTTAACTGAACTCCTTATATCCTCTTAATGTAAAATATATCATTGTACTAAAAAAAAAACATGCACATACCATTATTGGTATGCTACGTGGTGAGAGTGAGAGAGATTGATTTTCTTAAATCTTTGATTTTTCAGGTAATGTCAGCTGAAAGATACAAAACAAGGCAAGTTTCAAGCAATAAAGGAAACCATGATGCACATTATTCAAATCACGACAATTTAATGATCAAAAGAATCCCCTTCAAGTTGTTGGTCTAACCAATCAATTTCTTTTAGTTAACAATGACCTTATGTAACTTTATTAATAATACTAACAATTTATTTCGACAAACAAAATTAAGACATATAATTATCAATGTTTTCAAGTATCAAATAGAGGTGAATCTTACATAAAAATGTGCATCGTACCATTATATATAGATCCGCCTATATTAAAAAATGTGTCAACAAAGATATGATAATGTTGAGTGTCTAAATAAATTCACATTCATCATAATTTAGGTTAAAGTCATACAAGAGAAAAGAAATTTAATTGATCGACGTCTCATGGTGATGTTTGCTCGAATTTACGCCACGTTAACTGATTCCGCACCGTGGCATGGATTGGAGTTTCCCTTTGATTGAAATGTCTTCATCCCATATCATCAAGCAATGTCCGTCGTTATGTACTTAAATCCCAACCTCTTCCTTTTCCTCCTATATCCAAAGAAAAGTGTTATTTACACACTTATTTTTGTCTTGCACACATTCTTGGTAATTTTTGTCTATTGATCTTCTTCAATTCATTTGATCGGACGATCGAAATTGAGAGGAGTGTATGAAAAGTAAACATATATGGATGTGTGGATAACACTATCCTGCTCAAATTAGGGTTCATTACCCGCATGCATGCATGCAAGATACATCTTCCCAAAATTTCCTTTCATGTATTCTCCATGATTCATGTGGTGACGAATGAAACCCGATCGAATGGTTAATGTCGTATACGAACATGTAGCGATTGATGGATTTTATTGGCATCACCTATCATACTGGCACGTACCTTTATGATATAGGATGTAAATATCATAAACATCAAGTTTTTAACTATCTAGAGAGCGTAGATGGACTAGTATGCTGCTTATGGAAATAGAGATTGATGTTTCATACACATGACATGACGACAGATTAGGTTGAACGAGTTGGTATTTGACCTTATTTCATGCATGCACATGGCGTGAAATGGACATGTCTTGAAATTAATAAGAAAAATAAAAGGGGGAACACATTTTTATAATTTATTTTTAAATAATTGATATTATCTACATTAAGGGGTAGAGTAGTGAACTAAACTTCACAATGAGCTAGTCATAATTTGATTCAAATTCGCCTTTGGTTGCAAGAATCAAACCTACGACCTCTTACTTATAATGCGAAGAAGAATACTAATAGACTGTAGTACAAAAGCTTTCACAATAAATTTAACCCATAGATTAAGAACATAATAGAATCTTCAAAGGCTTTTTTTTGATACAAAATTAAATCTTTGGAGTTCAATCCATATATACTTGAAACTTTGGGACACACATTCAAATATATGTATGCAATTTTTTTTCAACAACACAACAAACTTCCGTAAATGAGATTTTGAGTGTAGAATCTCTGCTAACAAGGTAGAGATATAGGCCACAAGGCTGAATATAATCATTGGCCAAAAGTTACTATACCAGATATTTGAATGGCTAAACTTCCGTTGCTTCGAAATAGAATCTTGTTTTTCTCCTTTTATTTGTATATTTCAAAATGAAGTACTAGATGTGTTAATAATTATTTCAAAAAGTGAAGAAAAATAAAGTACTTGTTAAGTTTTTTTGTCGATTCTTTTCCTATGTTGAGTGGCTATTTTTTATTAATAGTCAATTAGCTTTAGAGTGAAATTTCAACTTTCATCATATGTATGTATTATTATTACAATATATTAACTCATATGTTGAGCCCAAATAGCTAAGGCATGTGCTTTCACATCACCCAAATACGTATGACTTTCTATTTTAAAATCCTAAATAAAAACAAAACAAAATGTTCGGGCTAGGAAGACTAGACTAATTGCACTTAGTCATTTGATTGATAATATAGATTAAAAGGGCATCAAAATGTTTGATTGTAAGAGAAAGATTAGGTCTACCGCTAAGCTTACATGACACACCCTACGTTCCACAGGTAGGCCACAAATAACAAATGATTTGTATAGAGCTAGCTAGAGCTAAATATGACTCCTATTTAGATATAATTATATATATATATATATATATATATATATATATATAAGATAGTTTACTTAAACTAGAGAGTTTTAACGAAACACTTCCGGTATTGTTCACTTTTAACGAAAAAAACACATTTATACCTTTCTCTGGTACTTTTCACTACACCTTTATTTGTCATTTTTCATTAAAACTAAAGTTTTTTTGGATTTTTCTTTAGTTTTCCTAACCAAAAATAGTAAGGAGCGAATTCTACTCGATTGTGTGCATAACCTGTGTTCTAAAAAAGGGCCTAGGCAGCGCCTAGCGGTGGTGACCTGAGGCGTTTTCTTGCAAATTGGTTGGAAAAATCGGCTGGGCTCTAGGCGGGCTAGGCAGTGTTTTTTTTTTTTTTTTTTTTTTTTTTTTTTTTTGAAATTAAAAAAAAAAATCTAATGTACATTACTATATTTCCTTATTTTCCTCCTATTTTTCATTTTATGTGATTTTAAATTGTGAACTTATTGTACATGTGTCATCTTACAATACTCCTCACTATGATTATATGGCATATATGCTTAATGTGTTTTTAAATTTTGGACTTGTTGGATACTCTTTTTGCATTTTATCATTCTTTTATTATCTTATCCATGTATTTCATACAAGTATAATTTTTTGTAAGTGTCAATATGCACTTATTTACAAGAAATTTACCTAAATCCGCTTAGGTGCTAGGTGCCAGCCTGCCGCCCGACAAGCGCCTAGCGTTTTTTAGAACCTTGTGCATAACAAGGAGCACATCCGTTCTAACAAATGCGACTACTCCCACGACTGACCTAGGCAGAATTTAAACTCGAGACTTTATGCTAACCAAATTATAATTTTGTTGGGTTTTTTCCTCTCTTATTTCGATCCCCTCTTGATTGTCATAGATTATTAGTATGGATATCTCATTTCATTACAGAATTAACAGAGAAAAAGAGTATTTATTTATTTTTATTATTTTAAACAAATGATATTATCTACATTTAGGGGAGGGAGAGTGGGCTTAGCCTTACAATAAGTTAGCAATAATGTGGTTCAATTTCGTCTTTGGTGAGAATCGAACCTAAGACCTCTCACTTATAAGTGAAGAAGAATACTATTAAACTGTAGTCCTATTTTCTTCTCAATATATTATGGACAAGTCAAAAAGCTAAAGTGGTTGTTGTTATATTGGGGTATAATAAAGCATTAGGATGAGGGGAATGAAGTGCTTTTGTTTTTGCTTACAAAGAAGGCATGAAATTAAGTGAAGCCAATAGAATGGAGGCCGAGGGTCAAAAGGTTGGAT